CGTTAAACTTCTTTCAATGATTCTGTTGACTAATTTGCTAGCTCAACAAAATTAGTTAACAATTTAAAAAAATTCGCAAAGATTGTAAAAAAACCAGAAAAATTTAAATAAAAATAGTTTGAAATGAAAGTTTGATAAATGGGTTAAGATAAAGATGCTTGATTTATGTATATATGTATTTTAACTTAAGAAAGTTAAAGCTTATATTTTTAATCACAGTTGTACAAACCGATTTTAGTATCTAAAAAGTTGTAGGTTTTTATTTATATTATTTTAAGAGTTTATAGGTTTTTTGTATTATGTAATATTTATTAGGGCGTTTGAATAGAGAGATAAAATTCACTTAAGTCACTGATGCTATTTTATGGATACACCCACCTGAATTAGGCAATTTTTTATCAAACATAGTCAATAATGCCACACATAAACAGTACAATTCATTCAATAATGTTTTTGCACTCTACATTGCGTTTGTGTGTCGATTTAGTTACTGGCATTTGAAGTCGAATATATTAATTATGTTATAAAATTATAAACATTTTAATATTTTTCTTGAATGTGTTGTATTCATAACGCAATATAAGACACTAATAGGTTTCAGTATTTTATTATTTTTGTTAGGGGATGTGGCACTGCGACCGTCGGGTCTATTGTGCTCCCTTATAGGTAGGTAGAGTAGGTCTCTAAACCCTGTTGCATCAATAAAAAGTAGTGTAGTATCTACTTTACAGAGTTTTATTGCCTCTTCTTCTAGTATTTAAAAATTAAGAAAAAAATTTTTCTAGAAAGTTTCTATAAAACCATTTTCAATTGTAAATATGAACGTACTCGTATAAGTTAAAGCCGCAACTGATAATCAATTTTTTCTGCTTTTTATATAAATACAGTGTATACAGTGTTTGAAATATATTATATAGTTTGAAACTTGGCTGTATAAGTCACAATCTTCAAGAAGATATTGTTTTTTCTTTGATATATAGTTGATTTCCCTGAAAATTGGAGAGAAGATATGTTAAATAGAGCAAATATGTGCATTCTGTGTAAGAAACATACAAAATTTATAATTTGAAGAAATACGCTAATTTTCGGTAATAAACTGAACAAATATTATAAGCACCGTACATAATGGGTAGGCTTGATCCATGTTAGTTTTTTCTATTCCCGAAGATTTGATTTGATGAAGAAATTTATAGCTGGTATAGCGCTAGTATAGTGATATTGCACCCGTTGGGATCTACTTTAAAGGTGACCAATCGCATTTTGTGTAGTTAATAATTTTATTGTGTGTTATTTGTACTTTGCACATTGAAAATATTTAATTATTAAAATACAACGTATTTAAAATTTAAATAACAATTAAACTATAAAAATAACAACTTTCTAAAAATTATGTATGTTATGTATTAGAAGCAGTTTCTAACACTTATTATAATATGTAGGGTATGATTTTGATAAAAGATACTGCCAATAATTATATTGTATATAATTTATTCTTTTTTATTAGTATTGCTAGCTTAGGTTCATTTGCATTATAAAATATTTTTATATAAAAATGGGAAAATCAAGATTGTTAACCCATTTACCTGATGGTAACAGTATTTATAATTGTGATTGATTAATTTGAGAGTTTTTTCTTCTATTTCTGAGCTATTCTTAAATTTATTTATACTCGTATTCGAGTTTTAGAGTGTCGCTCTCGTTTATAAACTATATTATGTAATGAATTGTGTTATAATAATATCAGAAATCTGCAAATTTACAATTAATTTTTATTTCGAAATTTCAAATTAATTTTTAGATTTAAGATAATATAGAAACTGTATGTCGATATTTCCAATTTGCTTCTTTAATACAATTACTCCTGAAATATTTAAATAAATACTATTATTACTGAAATTTACTTTATTGAAGTAAAATTATAAACTTTAAGTTTTTTTATCTGTGGTTATTTGAAGACGTGAATACATTCTTTTTGTTTATACTATGTTTCGTTGAGATTGTGAGATTAAGATAACGAAATTAAGTTAATCTGTATTTTTAATCTCCACCGTTTACATTATACATTAGAGATTAATTTTGTCTTTTCTCTTGTTGTGTTTTGTTTCGTGTGTTTGATAAATTTTTAATAGATAGAAATTAATAATAGATAGTTCAACACAAAATATCAACTATAGTCGCAAAGTTCTGCTCTACTGGAAGTCAAGAACTCACTCATTCTCTAATGTATTCTAATTTCTAGTTAAAATTGTGTTAGGTACATTATCATCTCTGCAACTTCATTATTTCTTATGTATCAATTCGATACACAAAAAGATTGAAACAATAATTTCTTAATAAAGATATAAATCATATCCTGAATTTGTTATGAAGCTTGAAATTAAAATCATCCTTGTCCTTTTAATTTATTTTTAAACAATTTTTTTAATTATTTACATATTTTAATGATACACTAGTGAGAATTTCCGGGGGCTCAACGTCACTTATAAGCAGTTTATTATTATTGCAATTATTTAGTAGCTTTAAAATAAACTTTTGTAAAATACATTTCAGTCTGAAACCTAAACTGGTTGGAAATTTTTTAACGTCCAAAACAAGTTATGGGCAAACATTAAATGATAAACAAAATTGGTTCCGTAAATTTAATTAAATTTTAGAAAGGATAAGACCAATTTCAAGTTCAAAGTTGCATTGACGTCAAACCGTTGCCAGGAGCTGAGACTTGAAGTATTAAGATGCACTTCGCACAGTTATTATTAATTATATGAAAATAAAGAAGCAAGGGAACCAAAATAAACAATTACTAGTTTGTTCGCTTTAGAAAACATTATTTATACTCCATGAAAAAAATTAGTAAAAATTTAATCTTCTTGAGAAAAATAGCATTTGAATAATAAAGGCAGAAATTGAAGTAATTGTTCTCTATCTCTCTCTCTTTTTATGTTATATTAAAATATAGGTATAGGTCAATTAATGTTGACACCTATATCATATCCATGGAGTTCTAGACACTTTATGTCTTACTTGGATTGATGGAGGAAAGCATAAGATTACTATACTATGCATATCATATGCACAAATTTTTTATTTTAAATAAATTTATTATTGTATTAAAATTAAGCGAAAACTTAATATAATGGCAGTTAATGTTATATCTTAATTGAGAATTTATCTTATGAAACTATTACCTTTTCTTTCTAACCATATTGTATTGCTAGTCATTTTATTAAATCACTCATTTGTCATTTGTCAGTCTGGACAGCCCTGATTTAATCGAACTATTGTGATTGACTGAACGATTTGAAGCTGTAGCTGCTTTCTACTAAGAGTAATCTAAGAGCTTTTTGGTTTTGGTTAAATCAATTAGAAAGCTGTTAAATACATCATTTTTAAGTATATTAGTTCTTATTTGCAGTTTACTAGTATAGTGATATACTATTTTCTATCGATCTAAAACCTTATCTATTGCCATTGACGTTAAAGTTTACGGTTTTTTTTAAGTTTTTTATATTAATGGTATATTTTATATTCTCTCATATATTCTAAGTAAGTGTTTGAATGAGTTTACTTTTCCAAGTAATAGTTTCGATATTCCTTCATAGTCGTAATACTACGTTGTCAAGTTGATCAATAGTTAATGTGTTATATTTCTTTATAACTACTTCATCCAGTTCAAAACTAATAGTTCGAACAGTATTAGTGTTCCAACTTAAATTAAATACAAATGTGTTCTATTCGGTCTTAATTATCTCATTCAGCTCATCTATACCTAAATACCTTTAGAATAAAACTAAATGGTAATTTCAACAAATATTGTACTTTATAATTGCCTGGCTCCTACTAGAAAATGCCCGTATGCTGTACTATAGGATGCACCATCTCCTAAAATTATACTCAAAATAATATTTTATCATATAGTCCATATAAATGACATTGGTTCGATGGCTGAAGTGCGGGAATGTATATGTTTAAAGAGTTTTATGTAACAATGTAACACCGATTCCTATTCCTAATAATAATCTTAGATATTTGAACAGTATTTCAATGATTATTGCAATGGAATGGTTTTTTTTTTGTTTTCATCCCTGTTTGCACATACTACCTATATGTATAGGTTTCCTTTGCTGATACTAAGAAATTTGATGATTTGGTGATTTCTGATACTAAGAAAGATGTATTTATAGTCGTAATCCATTTATTAAGCTAAAGTACCCTAAACGTTCATAACTAGCCCAATTCTTAGGGTCTCTGGAATTTCATTTTCAGACGGATTACCATTGACATCCATTTATATATTTTAAGGATAAAATTAAAATCAATTTGTGAGTAGTATAAAAAAATGAACTTATCGGATGTCTTGATACAAATTTTTAAGAGTATAGATACACATATATAACACGAATCTTTCCTAATAATTTATAACAAGTGTTTAAATTTTTAAGATTACGTGTCGTAAATATTGTAAATCACAAAATATAAATCATAGCTTCTTTAGAACTCAATGCACTTGTATGAAGTGCAATGTGTCAAGCTGGTTGTAATTTACATTGAATCTTAATCTGAATCTGAATCTGAATTTGTGAATTTGTAACTGATTAATATGAGATAAAATTTAATGCCGCCTTGAGGTTAACGTAATGCAAGGTGCTCATATGAAGACAACAGCAATTAAAAATTGACTAAGCCAAACCATAAAATTGAGTTTCATTGATTTTATATTGTTTTCGTTGTTCAAACAGCTTCCACTTAAAATTGCTGGTGCAGGCAGGCATTGTGCTGTTGTGCTGTTGTACTGTCTCGTTGTTGTACTGTTTACGATCCCACAAAGATACAAAGATAGATTTGTCTAAATAGTTACTTGGGATTTTGTATCTGTAGCTAGTGTTTATTTATAAACAAACATTTGCATATGTGTTTAGCTTAAGAGTTACTTTTTTCATTTTTTTTTTTAATGTAAAATCTGAATTTTTCCACTTTGCACGTAGAGAATCAGTTTTGTTAAAGAATTCAACGGATTCATTGTTTACGTCGCGACGTCGTCATTATTGCTGTTTTCGCTGTTAGTGCGGCTGTTAGTGCGGCTGCTATGGCTACAGTGGCTACAGTGGCTACTGTGACTACTGTGGCTACAGTTACAGCTTTTGTTGTTGGATTTTTCGTTAGTAGTTTTTGTGCTGCTTACGTTACTATTGGCTTCTCTGCTTTTTGGTAGTATAAAAAGAGCGCGTTTACGTTATTTGGAATTTTGTTGACGTTTTGTCGTGAAGAGGTTAAAACGAAATACTTAAAAGCGTTCGCTTCGAGTTTTAACGGAGTTTTGTCGCGGAAACGGAAACATTGCAAATAGTTCTTGTTCTTTAACAATTGCTGTAGTTTTTATTCTGTCTCATGAACAGATAATAAGATAATATATATACAAAGTGATTTTTAAAGCAGACAATCTCAAATACCACAAGTGCTGAGAAATGGAAACTGAAATACAAAATTTTTACAAAAACAAAAATGTTTTTTTAACTGGCGGCACAGGATTTCTAGGAAAAGGTAGTGAAAATTTTATCTAAAAAATAGTGAAAATAAAAATGACTAATTTTTATTGCAATAGTGCTGTTGTAGATACACATTAAAGCGTACAAAAATATATAAAGTTAATACCATACATATCTTTATATAACAAAAAATATATTAGAAAGTTATAGAAGTCTAGATTGTTAGTGAAATAGACCACTGTGACCATACTAGATCTATTGTGCTAAATATATATATGCATGAAACTGCATGAAAATGCATAAAATTAATTTATTCTCAGTGTAAAAACTAAAATTTATTATTTAATTAAAGTTAATTGTAAAATTAAACTTTATTTATTAAATATTTTATTGCATTCTACACGATTTTCAATAAGTCAAATGTTAATAAATCAAATTCTTTAAAATTAATACTTTCAAAAATTCATAAATAAATAAATAATTTCTATAGTGTGTACTTCATTGAATAACTAAACAACTAATTAAATTAGCATATACATATATAAAATTGTATAAATTTCAAGTCCCCTTTCCAGACCACAATTTCACCTTTAATTTATGTAAAATAATACTTTTTCTATGAAAATGTGGAAAAATGATTTTAGTGCAAATTTATCTAAATGAGTTTATTTCGTAAAAGAAGAAAACAGTGGGTCAACAAAAATATTTTATTGCAACGAGGTTATTTAATTTTTACGTACCATGAATAATAAAAAAAAAATAAAAAAAAAATAAAATTAAACTGCAAAGAATTGTGATTTTGATTCGAAGGGCAAAATAATATGCAGTCCATGCGGAAAGTTTTTGTTTAAAAAATTTTATTATTTACAATTACCTAAAAACATTAAACAAAAGAAAAACAATAAAATAATACTGTGATAAAAAGATATATGAAATAAATATGATTTAAGAAGTCAATATAATATTAATACAATTATAAGGCGTTAAATAAAATATTGGTATAACATATTTGAAGTTCAGTGTGCGTTTTTGTTGAAGTGAATTTCATCCTCCCACTGCACATTTTCGATCAAAGCAAACTGCTTTATAAAACTATTTTATAATTGTCCACCCAATTTAATACCATTTTAACGCTTTTTATCGCAGTCATATATAGCATATATGTATATATTTTCAGCTAGATAATAATACCTAATCATGTGCGCCAAATTTAATTCAAATCCGTGAACACAATAAAAAATAATATTTGAATAATTTTATAATAATTTTGAATAATTTTTATTTAGATATATGTATATGCACATATTGAATAGGGCTAAACAAAATTTATTTCACATCTTGAAATATAAATTTTCTCAAAAAGGAGTAGGTAGTTCGTGCTTTCATTTTCGATAGTAACTTATTTGGAAGTATGATAATTTATTTAAATTATTTAATCAACATAATGCGGGGTTTCTTGCATAGTTTCAACATTTCATTAATTAGGTTTTGCTATTAAATTGAACTATTTATTATTAAAATTAAATTATTTGACAGCCTTAATGATTCAACATATTTTCATTTTTATTTAAGTGTGTTTTAGATTCTGAGTCTTTACACTTATTCTACTTATATCCGATTATATTATATTTTATAAACTGGATGTATTCTATTCGACAAAATATATTTCATACTTAGTGTATATAAAATATATATCAATTTTCTTGTGAAATTCCACTGAGTTTACAATTTAATAGGTATAGTAACGTAATTGTATCGATTTCTAATAAAACAAGAAGTCAACTTACCTTAATAAAATAAATTTATTGACAATATTGCCAGCGTGTTCAGACTTATTAAAATCAATATTTTTCCATTTATTATAATAAATAGAGCATATAAATTTATTATTGTCCTTCTTAACTTTTTCTAATTACAAAAAACAACCCATTATCAACTTCAACTTCCAATGCAAAATTACTATATGGTACAGCTATGTTTTATAATTGTATTAAATTTAATATTATGATTTTACTACAATTACATTGTAATCATAATTTTATTATTTATTATAGCAAATGGTGTTCATCACACTAGATGCTTCATTTTGAACATACTATTACTTATAAGTAGGTAGGCTGGAGTGACGACCTTGTTTTCAAAAAGCACACTTGAGCTCAAATGAGGGCCCATTGTGATATCACAGGAATAGCATTGGTTATTACTTTATAGATGTTAATTATAAAATAGTTATCAGTATTATTTATTATTTAGTTTTTATCTTACAAAACAATATGATAGTTTTTGTGTAGTTGTTATTTCTTCTTAGGGATTATTCCGCCAGATATATAATCTAATAGTACAACATGTTTACAATTTTTAGTTATTCTGCTTTTAAATTATTTCTTTGAGTTTATTGTTATTAGTATTTTATTTTTTATTTATTATTTGTTATTTATTATCATTATTGTAATTCATGTTAAAAATATCATCATTATAGTATACATTTTATATTTATGTATTTTAGTACAGGTTTCTTGAATTGAAGTTACTTAATGTTTATATCTGTTCTTTTTTGTACAAAATCTGTACAAAGATTAAACAACAATATCTAGTCTTTGATTTATTATGGATTTCTTATTATTTAATTATATATATAATATTATGTATTTACAGTACATATGTATATAATATATAAGTAAGAACACAACTTTGTGTGAATAATCTCAACATACTTATGTGAATCATTAATTTTATAAACCAAACTGGAATTAATAATCTAAAATTTTAACTATCAATAATAATAATAAATAAATGTCAATAATATATGAAATGATTATGATTCATGAATTCTTCATTAAAAAATAATTACAAAATCTGGCTTTGTTTTTCAATTCATATTAAGTTGCAATTTCAAATTTTTAAAAGTTGTAATAAAATTAATAATTATTTTGTATTTTTTTGTACTAGTCTTTCTGGAATGTGCTAAGTGTATTAAAATCTGTTCCAATAAAAAACCGCACATAAAATAAATTAATTATAATGCAGTATATTTTTATTCTTCAACCTAAGCCTTAAATTCCGTTCTCAATTTTTTTAGTTACATTACTAACAGTTATACCCTGCAGTAAGACTTCTTATATCTCTCGATTATTATTCTATATTTATCATGATAAATGTTGAATCATAATATCTATATAACAATAAATATAGTGTATCAAATAATTTAACTAAATATTAATAACATTTGAGGTATGACTATATTGAAAGCATCTCTAAATGCCACAAAAAAAAGCAGTCCACATTCATCTTAATGACATTTTATACTCGTAGCTACACCGTAGAAGATGCTACAATTGCTCATTTAGAGCATTTTATTTATATTTAAATAAGATAGTTACTATAAAAACATAATTAAAAATTTCAAATTTTAAAATTTAAATATTTTTAATAAATATTAATTGATTTGTTGGCTGACAATACTTCAAAGATGCGTGGGAAACGCGTTGTGCTTCTATGTATTCAAATATCCGAAAATATATGAGACTCTTCATTCATTGTGCTAAACAACTTAGATTTACCATGAATCGCATAATGTATGCGATTATGAGGCGATGAAGATTTCCTTTCTATTTCTCTCTCTTTCTCTTTTATCCTCATCTAACAGTGGCATTCTGTCTATGTCCTGCTTAATCAAGGCCGTTCAATGTTTTGGATATGTGGCTATGGGACTGGATATGTGGATATGTGGTCATTTAATAAGAAAACACATCTTTTATAGAATTTAATATTCAATTAATTCAATTTCCTGACACTTATAGTCTAAAAATTACATGCGGATAATGAAACCATCAAATTTTTTCAAAAACAGCAATTGACAGATATTTAATGATATCCGAAACATCTGTATGATTAGTCTAAGAAAGAATTTACTTGATTGAAAAATTTTTTTTGGATTTCCTCACTATTTTCACCCTTTAATTTTCAGTATAAATAAGTACCCAGAACGAATAACGCTTATAAAGATTGTAGATAGTAAGGTCCTGTGCATAATCATCGGTTTGCATATTCAGATATTAGATTTTGGAAGTATATAATCCTTTGAAGATCTATACTTGTGATGTATGCTAAGCTCGTTAGTCCTAAGGCTTCCGCAGTGAAATGTTTATTGTAATAGAAAGAAGTGGGAAGTTCGAATACCAATTTCGAAAAGTTCACTTCGCTCTTTGTATTATAAATTAATGTGAACTTGAACGTACTAGTATAAGAGTTATATTACTTTTTATTATTAAGTTATGTCATCATTTTTGTAATGAATAAAAAAAAACCAAAATAACAATTTTAAATTAATAATTATCAGCGAATTACCTCATTGAATTTTCGGAATAAAACTAAACACCTTGCATTTACTTCTCTTTTTGACTGTGGGACTATTTCTTTCTTCAAAGTCACAGAAATATTATATAGAGATTATTCTTTGAATTTTATATTTCATTTGTAAATTTTATATATTTATATTGTAAATGTTTACGCAAACGTTTTCTATAGAAATGTTTAATGTAATTGATATAATTATGGGTGTTATTAACTGGGACTTATAATTTTGCATATTCAATGTGAATAATAGGAATTGAAATTAATTTGAACACTGACTGCGTGCGTAGAAGGAGTGTTAAAAATTCTTTGTAATTTTAATATAAATTCAAAAATTAAATATATATTATATACTCATGATAATAGTGAGATTCCAATTGCTTTTAATGTTACTCTCATGTATATGACCGTAAGCCCAACGACAGTAAAACTTATTCATTAAGAAGAATCGATGTCTTTGAAAGCTTTGAAAGAGTTGTGTATTACCGAAGGTGTAAAATATTAAAATTAATTATTTTATTGCTTATTACTAATTTTTACTTGTAGCCAACTTTTATTATCACCCATGTACGAAATTCTATTTCACGAGTGCACACAAGATTCATTTCGAATGTTACAAAACTGATTTTAAAACTGATTTTAAAACTGATTTTAGTGTTTCTTGAAATGAAATAAATTTCGGTTATGAGGTTTTTTATTGTTCCAGTTAATTAAATTGACTGAATTTTGATGTGAGCACATAAAACTGCAGTGCTCTTCAGTTGTGAAATTTTTATGACTGAATGAAATGAAGTTTTGTGGAGAAAAAAATTGAAAAAAAAATATATTTGAGACAAAAATAAATTTGTTTTTAAAATATACAAAATAGTTGTATTTTTTGCTTACATCAATTAAAACAGCGTAAATACTAGTATTTTTTTTAAATTTATTTCAGTTTATTTGGAAAAAATTTTACGTGCCACAGACGTCAACTATGTTTACCTTTTGGTACGCCCAAAACGAGGCAAAAACATAGATGAACGCATAAATGACATTTTAAAGGATGAAGTAAGTCATTGCGGCATTTTTTTAATCCTCTTGCAACATTGACAATTTTAAAAAGATTAAAACATGTCCAATACTTTTCTAGCTCTTTGATCAACTTCACAAACTGAAACCGAACTCAGCGAAACGTGTGAAGCCCATATTTGGCGATTGCTTGCTACCAAATCTTGGCCTGAGCAGTGATGATTACAAAGATCTTGTGGAGAATGTGCACGTTGTGGTGCATAGTGCAGCCACAGTACGTTTTAATGAGCCGCTGAGCACCGCATTGGCCATAAACGTGCGTGCAACAGTGGACTTAATAAAACTGGCGAAGAAAATGCAAAAATTAAAGGTGGAATTTAAATAAGATCGAAGATAATGAAGATTTACAAAACTCGTTTTTATTTTAATTAATTTGCTAGGTTTTTGTTCACGTATCTTCCGCATTTGCTAACTGCTTCAAGACAGACATAGATGAGTGCTACTATACAGAGCATTTGAACATCACTGCAGAAAAGTTATGCACATTGGTAGATATACTAGGTACGGAGACGGCCGATCGTTTAGCTACAGAACTATGCAAAGATTTTCCAAATACTTATTGTTACACAAAAGCTCTCGCAGAAGAAGCTATTCTTAGTCAAGGCAGTGAACTACCGATTTGCATATTTCGGCCTGGTATCGGTAAGTTTTGAAATATGGTGCGAAGAATATATGTTGATGTTGCACTTTTTACAGTTATACCCTCTTGCAGTGAACCAGTGCCTGGTTGGATAGATACTTTATATGGACCTACTAGCATTTTGTATGGTGCAGCTTATGGTGTACTACATGTGCTTTATGCGAATATTGAAGCAAATGCTGGTGTGGTGCCAGTAGATTATTGTGCAAATGCTATGCTTTCTACGGCTTGGTATACGGCTAAATCTGTGAGACAAGAGTATGTTTTACGCTGTTTGACAGAATAAATCATAAATAATGTTAACTTATTGTTTCTAATGTAAATTTTAAATTTTTCAGTGTTACTTCACCGCCTTCAATATACAATTTAGTTCCGGACTCAGCAAATCCATTAAAATGGAAATCATACATGCGTTCTGTTGAAGAGCATGGTACGAAAATGCCTTTAACGAATATGATTTGGTTTCCATTTTTAATTCATACAAATTCAATTTTATTCTACAAGATATTATGCTTCTTCTATCACACAATACCAGGATATATATTTGATCTGTTATTATTGGTACTTGGTAAAAAACGCAGGTAAGCTTAAAAATATATAAACAATTTTACTTACCATTGTTTGTTTTGGATTTGCACTACGATTTATATATTAAATTTAAAATTTTATTTTAGATTAGTAAAAACTTATAAAAAAATCCATCAACAGAGACCCATGTTTGATTATTTTGTGGAACGTAATTTCAATTTTTCGATAACAAATTCGAAGCAATTGTGGAAGAACTTAACTCCGGAAGATCAAAGCATATTTAATTTCGATATGCTATCGATTAATTGGTCAGAATACTTTTATAATAGTTTATGTGGTATGAGAAGATTTCTAGCAAAAGAAGAGCCCAGCACAATTCCAAGGGGTTTGGAGCTCAAAAAACGGTATGTAAATAAAGTTTCTAAATAATTCCGAAAATTAAAATAATGAATTTGAAAATAATCTTTCTCTATTATTATTTAAAGCATATATATGTAAGAATTTTATACAAAAACTTCACTATGATCTTATTTTGTTTTCTTTGCAGTTTTCTAATTCTCCATCGCGCAGTACAACTATTGGTTTATGGTGGCGGTAGTCTATTATTCTATTGGACCTCTAAAAAATTATATTATTCCATATAGTTTAATAAGTAAATTAAGTTTTTTTACGTAGTATTGAATTAAAAATGGTTTTGTACAAATACTGCTCAACAGTATTAATTCAAAATAAATGGTTCAAGTCAACTTTGTCTTTATTAGTTTTAAGGTTTAGTTGGCATGTAAGTGATATTAAATGAAATAAAAAAAAATTATAAAAATGATAAAAAATTAGAAATGTTTAAAATTATTTAAATTTTTTTATGTTTTTTATGTTTCAACAAACAAAACATCGCTATGTTGTGACTTACGTGGAAGCCCAATATTGTTGCATGCAACAAATGCGCTGTCATTCGACTTTGTTTCCATTGTGGCAGCAGATATTTCTGGTTGTTGCAACTGAAGACACAACAATGTCAGCATTCCAAGAACACTGCCATTACCAACTATTCTGTGCCAGAAAAACATTTTGTTCTACTTTATTGAATAAAACTTTTACTTCACTCGCCTCACTACGCTTCAGTTAAATGTCTGTTTTTATTTGAAATTAAATCAGTTACTTTCATCTTCCAACAGATCCTTTGCAATCGCAACGCTTTCACAGACTGAATTCAAACATTAGAAGAAATCGCCGTCATGCAAATATTGAATGAAACTATTTTTATGTGACAGAAAAACTTTCCGCTAACAACAACAAACACTCAGAAGGATAGCAATAAACTCGGTTCAGTTTGTAGGTGAAGCAAAGGACCAACTAGAAACACCAACTACAGCTACAGCCACATCCGCTCCGATTAATTTCCTTTTTCATTTGAATGCGGAGCAAAATTGCTGCTGATAGAAAAGGAATCAGATAAAACGAAATAGTCGTGGAATTGCGTTTCGATCAATTCCAACTATGATTTATAGCTCCTATGAAAAAATTGTAGCATGCGCCGCAGCCAGCTAGAATCAAATGTGGAATAGCACATAAATTCCACTTCACGAGGACTTTTTCTATCTAATTACAAATTAAGTTAACATAAATTTGCCGGAATAACGCAATTGACAGTAGTGTCAGCTAAGTTATGAGCGAATTTATTCAAAAGCACGTCCTGTGTATTCATGCGACTTATTCAGACCATTTAGTAATACTTTTGTTGTACATTGACTGCTATCTTAAATTTCTATAAATATTTATGAAACACACTAAGAGGACAACTTAACATGAGTCAGCTGAGAATTCAACTGTAAAATTAAGGAGTTAATTTTGTAAATAGACTCAATACATCACAGTTGTTATTGTTCAATTACTCGATGTATCATAATATTGAAAATATTAGTTTATCTCAAAAAAAATTTTTTCACAATATTAAATCAGAATTATCAGAACTACCAACAAAATACATTCTAGGCTATATACCTTCTGCTCAAAAAGTATCCGGATTTTGTTGTTTATTAACTACTTCTTAAGTAATAGAACTGTTTCAAAAAGTTTTTGTTGTTATGTTGGTACACCCTTTCTTGACATATGGTACAAATTTGAGCGCCGTCTGTCAATTAGTTTGTTTACAGCAGCTGTTAATGTGAGACTACCTCAAGTGCATTTAGCGATTCTTCTTGTACGCGATTTTTTGACCAAACACGGCACCACTGTCATCGCTCAGGCACCATATTCGCCAGATCTGGATTCGTGCGACTGTTTTCTGTTCCCGAAACTCAAATTGCCCCTTCGTGGTAACATAAGCGTTTTGAGTCGATTGAATCGGTAAAAGAGAATTCGCCGAAGGAACTAAAAGTCATACCTGCACGGGCCTACGAAAAGTGTATGGAAGATTAGGTTAAGCGTTGGCATATGTGAATCGCTTCAGAAGGAGCATATTTTGAAGGAGATAAAATAAATTTTGAATAAAATTTAAATTTGTTTGTTTTATTTACAAAATACGGAGCAGAAAGTACTCTACGACAGCTGAAGATCGTCGTTGGTGTAATCAATGTTAATATATAATATACTATAAATAGTTACTGATAGATGTCATGACTACTTTCTATTTCTTTATTAAATTTAAGAATTTATACCTTTAAACCTGGTTAACTCGAAAATCTAGCTTTAAAATGTTAATATATTTATTAAAATTAAAAACAAAAATTTAGAAAATTTCATTAAAAAGTCATATAAACATTTTTACAAAAGAAAATTAAAGTAAAGGATAAGAGCTCTGAAATTATTTACGAGAACTGATAGGCTTATCTAAACCGTGTTATCGAATCTCAGAATGGTTACACGCTCCTCGGGGAGGTATGCAGATCTGAGGTCAGTTATTGTTTAGTCTGATGAAGTGTTGAACAATAATCCAATCAAGGTGTAAAGAGGGTTTATGCAGAAACATCGCAGTTAATAGAAAGTATAAGTACTCAAATGCACTGCCTTAACTAGCCTTAACATAATAATAATAGTTATGTAAAAATTTTTAATGTTAAATGGAAAAATCGAAAATTTTGATTTTTAATGGAAAATATTATTTAAAATATCAAAATGTAAAATGTGAAATGGCGACATCTAAATAATTATAATTTTTCCGCGAAAAATATTTTGACGTTTCCATTCAAATGATTACTTAACCACATGTGCACTTAAAAAAATTATATAGATATTATATATTTCCGGAGAATAGCAAAAAAAAGGAGAAAAAGAAGGGAATAAGCATTTCCCTTCCCATAGATAGTTTAAAACTGTCTAGTTATACTAGAAAGCAGTGAAAATGAGAGTGAAATTAATTTAATTTATTCTCTCTAAGCGCAGTACTTATTTTAATATTATACTAAAAACTAAATTACTAAGTATAAAAAGGTTAATCTTCATTTATCCAAGTATATGTTACTTAATTACATGTTGATTAAACAATTAAAAATGTATGTAACATTTTTTCCGAGCGTGTGACATTCAAAGCAATCAAATACTGATACATTGTATATTATTTAATTATAAAAAATTACAGTTACAAATCTATTCTTTATAATATTGTAGATATATGTTTATCTATCCAACTGGTATTTACATTTTTATTAAAAGATGAAAATTGTATGTAATTTTAAGTGTTAATCGATGTAGGTGCGATTTTTATAAAATATAATTAGACGAAACGGAAAGTAATTTGTAATAAATGGTAAAAAATTGAAAAAAGTGGGAAAGATATTTTATTTTACCTATGACGAAATCCTTATTCAATAAAACATTAAAATTTCCTTCGACTTTCTAAAACTTCCAATAAAAACTTTTTGAAGGATGTTTACATATTGTTTCTTTTATACTTCTTAGACAAAAAATTTAATTGTTTCAGTCTTCCCGAATATACATATTGTGTGAATAACTTATATTTTCCAACAGGTATATTCCTACGTACCAAAAATTATTTTACAATGACACTTATGTCGTTTTACAGTTTTGAAGTCTGTGTTGCAATTCCACAATTAAATTTAATATGCCATTATATGTAAAAGAATAAACAATATATGTTTTATTACGTTTGAACATTCGAATTTCGTACCAATAAAACAACCTTAGCTGCCGGAAGTCTTTGTCTGCTTCAAGGAACTTATGGTGAACGTGCACCAATTCAACAGACTTGCAAAACCTGGCTTAAACGATTCAAAAGTGTTGATTTTGATGTCCGTGACAAAGAACGTTCCGGTCAATCCAAAAACTTTTAAAATAAAGAAGTGTAAACATTATTAAAGGAAAAGTCTAGAACTTACAGAACAGTTAAAGGGCCAAAAGTAAAGATTCACCTGCTCGAAAATTAATCAAAAAGTAGTAAAAAAGGTACTTCATGAACCTCTTGAAGTCAATATTGAAAATCGCGTAATGGCTTGCAATTTTTTCCTTACAAGACAGCGAAGATCAGATTTCATGCATCATATTATGCCTGATGATGAAAAATGGATATACCACGCCAACCATAAATGCAAAAAATAATGGGTTCGTCCAGGCGAACTATCCATATCAACAGCAAAATAAAATATTTATGGGTTATGTTGTGCATTTGGTGTGATCAAAACAGAGTGCTGTACTATGAGCTGCTAAATCCGAACGAAAATATTATTACTGACTGTACCAATAACAATTGAGAGATTTGAACCATGAAAAACTTTCGATTCTAGTCACCAAACAATGTGAAATGAATTCGCTAAACGACAATGCTCGATCACAGCCAAGTGAACTCGCACTGAGATGGTAAACTCTTACTGCATGCTCCCTACTCACCTAATTGCGCTTCATCAGTTTATTACTTGATCCGTTCACTGATATGTGCTCTTCACGACCAGAAATTCAGAAACCACGAAGAAACCAAACAATGAATGCTCGATGTATCGAGCACTTGAAAAGACAAATAATTTTTTTTCCATGGAATCCATAGATTCTCAAAAGGATGATCAAAAGTCATACTTTACGATAAAAAATATTTAGTTTAAAATAAAAAAAACTAAATATTTTTATCTCTTAGAAACAAACGTGTTATATTTGCAAAAAAAAACTGAGTTATATACTCAATAAATGTAAAATAGAATAGTTAATTACTTAATATTATTATTGATGTAACTTAATTGGACTGATATAAGAAGTATTTGCTTGTTTTTTATAAATTTTTCTTTTTTAATTTTATATTATAAATACGCTAAATGGCTTTTAATATATAATTGCAACAATTATTGTAAAAAACAAAGGGAAATAAATCAATTATAGTAAAACACATTGAAGAACAAATAAAACTTCACACTGTGGCACTTTCATTTATTAAAAAGTACTACTAGATATTTTTGTTTAAATACAATACTAATACTAGCTTCCTATCATAAACCAACAATGAAATATGCATACATTATAATGACAATAGCTGTTCAAATATTGAGTATTGAAGAGTATCTGATACAACCTAAAATTACCTTCAACTATTTAAAGGCCTTAAAAATTTTATGTTTAATTGACTCCACTGTGCATTGTTAATTTATATAATTCTGTGTGGTTCTTATTATATAACTCTTATTATATAACAATAACTCGTTATAATCTTATTTGTTAATAATCGATTATAATGGAGATCAATAAAAAATATTAGTCCAACATTTGAAATCTATAAAATTCACTACATTTCCTTTAAAAAATTAGTTCCCAGAGTTTGAGGATCACGCTGTCAAAATTTTCGTTTCTAGCCAGTTACAAGCCATTATTTGAAGTTGATCTATTTTTCATTATACACATCCAGTTTCGATGTTGTACCGGCTTAACTACATTTTTCACTGCTTATATTCTATATACAAATATCTCATGTTCCCTCTTGGGTCAATTTACCAAGCTCAGTATAACAAAACTTAAGATAAAAGTTGCTTTTAAACAACTTAATTAAAAACCTCTCTCCTAGAAATATACTTTTCTTCCATCAGTCCTTTGTTCTTGGCACACTGCGGTGGCGTATTATTACTGCAAGCTTTTCATTGCTTGCAAGATAGGTTGCAATCTTTCTTCCGCTTACTCTTACTTATAGTTAATTCTTTGATATATTATTAATACGAATACTCTTGCTATAAGGGAGCCTAAGTAAATTAATTTTATCTTCACATTTCAGCCATACATCATTATCATATTATTAGTTATAACTTTGTCTATCAATGTCGGTTGTGTGATAGTTTTTGAATCAGTGTGGTCAACTATACTTCGGTAAGTCTTAAAATCAGTCTGTTATCCGTACATCGTAAAGGATTCATTTTTACTAACATTAATTTTTTAATACCCTAGCCATTTAGTTTATATTTTTTCGTTTTGTTTTTATAATCTAATCATGAAACTTCACGGTTGATCAACGCAAATCAATGGCTTAATGCGGTGATGACTCAGTGGTCTACCTCATGGGTATGCATTTCAAATTTGACAGAGTTCAAATTCTTTCCTCAAGTTTTTCCAATATAAAAATTATATATGAACAAAATAAAAAACAAAAAATATTCTCAACGACTTCTGATTATGGATATTCGGCATAAAATTCATTTTTGGATTTAAATTTACTTTTAAATTTATTTGTGTATAGGAATTAATACAAACTTTTTTGCTTGGGTGTTCAGATTTAATAAGTGTTTAATTAATACATATTCGCAATATAAAATGATTGAACCATTTAAGCTTATCCAATAGCTTGCTGGAATTCTAGGCATTCACTGCTCAAAACTTATTTAAGAAGTAATGGAGAAAATAATGGAGACTGAAGTTCAAAAATTTTATCGAAATAAAAATGTTCTATTGACAGGATGCACAGGATTCATTGGAAAAGGTGATAAAATATTATCAATTGTCTTATACTAATGTATTTAATCAAAAAAAAATGTTGATATACTAATTATGTTATTAAAAACTCTACTGATTTTGCTAATTAAGTTGTTCTTGAGAAACTTTTGCGTGTGACTGAAGTAAATTGCGTATATTTAATTGTGCGACCCAAACGCGGAAAGGATATTGATGAACGCATTAATGAAATCTTTAAGGATGTTGTATGTACCAAAAATATTACTTAAACATTTCTATTAATATATGTTTCATTAATACTTGCAGTTATATGATAAATTACATGAAACTAAAAAAGATTTTATGCAAAAACTAAAACTAATTAAAGGCGATTGTATTCAACCACAACTGGGAGTTAACAAAGAAGATCGCAAATTTCTTATAGAGAATGTAAATATTATATTACACTGTGCCGCCACAACACATATGAATAACCCTCTAAAGAGTGCCTTACCCATAAATTTTGGTGCCACAGTGTCCCTTTTAAAGATGGCGAAAGAAATGCTAATGTTGCAGGTCAGTGGAGTGATAAGAAGGAAATTATTTATCTATTTTTTATTTTGATATCAGCTTTTCATTGCTTATACAATTTAATAGAGTTTTGAAATCTTCTTCTAAATTGTCTTTATATTTTTCAGTCATTTGTGCATGTTTCCTCGGCTTTTGCTAATTGCCTTACGCAGCATATCGAAGAGCGTTTCTATACTGAAGATTTGGGCATAAACACTTCCCAAATTTCAGAAGACGATATATTTAATGAACAATTTGTTAATAATTTAGATAAAGATTTTTGCAAGAAGTATCCTAATAGTTACACCTTCACAAAGGCTATGGCAGAGGATGCGGTTTTAAAATGTGAAAACTTACCAGTATGCATTTGTCGGCCTGCAATAGGTAGGAGAAACACAATTGTTAAACTGAACTCAGGATAAACATATTTGTTTATTATTCTCATAGTAAGTTCTACATGTAAAGATCCAATCATTGGATGGACTGATAATCACCAAGGACCTTTTGGAATTTTGTTTTCAGTAGCTACTGGTTTACTACGTATCATGTACATAAATCATGATGTTAATGCTGTTTTGGTTCCTGTTGATTATTGTGCAAATCACATACTTGTTTGTGCTTGGAGGACCTCAAACTTAAAGTGCGAATTTTGTTATATTAAAATAATATTAAATTGATTTAGGTCTAATAACTTATTTTAACTCGTGCAGCACAAATCTGACACCATTAATTTATAATTTCGCTACTGATGAGCACAATCCCATCAGCTGGAAAAATGCCAGCAATCTTGTAGCTTTACATGGCTCCAAAATTCCAATAAGTAAAACGATATGGTATCCGTTTCTAATTTTGTGCAAATCGAAGATATATTATAAAGTAGCTAGACCAATTGTGAATACTTTACCGTATCTGCTTGTCAAACTATTCTTGGCTATAACACGCAATAAGACAAGGTATACTCTTCCCTGGTTCCATGTACAATTATTGTATTAGAGGTTTTAAGTAATTTTTTCCCTTTTTTCTTTTCAGAATTATCAACATCTCTGTAGTAGAGAAACCTGTGAAAAAAGTAGAGTATTTTGTAACACATAACTGGATTTTTACTATGCACAATACAAAGCGACTATGGAACTCATTGTCCACAGAAGATCAGGAATTGTTTAATTTTGACATGTTGTCACTCGATTGGTCCGAATACATACGTACCAATTTGTGGGGAATGCGAAGAATTGTAGCTAAAGAAGAACCGGATACAATCCCTAAGAGTATTGAGCGTGTAAAAAGGTATTCATAATTATCTTTTAATTTAAGTGTAACTCATCAAATCAATCAATGGAAATATTTAATCATAAGTGAACTTAAAGTTATTCAAAGCTTGTCTTTGAATAAAGAACAAAAATATTATCAGAAAACTAATTTGTCAGATATTTTGTATATATGCATAAGTGTTCTATAGTCTGTTTGAAACTGGTTTAATCTCCGATATTTTAAGCAAGAAAAGGATTATTTATAACAAGTACTTTTTAGAAAAGTAAAAGTAAGTTTATTCAGTGGTAATGAATTATGTCTTATAATTTATTATTATATATGTAAATAACATTTTAAAAAATTTAGTAATTGTTCAATTTCAATTAGTTGAGAATTGGTTAATGGTAGCATAATAGACAACAATTCAGTCACGGGTTGTATCAATGCACTAAAGTATTTTGGAATGATACGGGTTGCACTAACAATAGCGACTTAGAGAAAAATTCATACAAGCTAATTTTGAAATTGAACTGATCGGTATAAACTGAAATGTTTTTTTTTGTGTTAATTATATTATATTAATTCTTTAAATGTAACTTTAATTCTTTAAAATACATTTTCTTTGCAGGTTACGGATATTACATCACGTTTGCAAATATATATTTTTCGGTGGAGTCGTCGGTTTATTATATCTTTTATATAATTCAATAATGTTTATTGCAAGAAGAAAAATAATTTCCTAAGAGGAAGTAACTTATAGTTGTATCTTTATATAGATACTCGTAATTCCAACAACAGGACATTGAGGTCTCTCAAGCTCTGAAGTGGTTTCCAACAATGAGTACAATACAAAATTGACAAATATTTCACATATTCTTATTATATAATTATTATAAAGTTTATTTTAAAGTAAATATTTTCTGTAACAACGAGAGAAAATAAAAATAATGACAAAAAAATAGGGTGTTGCCTTAATGCATTCTTTCCAGAAATGTATGTCTATTATAGTATGTATATATTCCATGTATTGATTTTTAAAGCACTACATATTATTACTGTTAAAGCTTTGACGTGAAATCGCCCAGCAGCCGGTACTACGGTCAGAAGACTCCTACTTCTATACCAATTTCACTATTGATTACACACAGCTCTTTAACATAAAGCTTTGTGAACAAAGTCCAGAACTAAATCTAAAGAAGACCTCTTAATCTGTTCTGGTGACAGAAACTTAATTAATTAAGTAAATGCTGTATGTTTTTTCAAATAAAGGTGCTTAGCTGATTCATTAATTATTTTAAACGGTTTTAAAAGCAATATGATTTTTATTAGTATCCCGAGAAAGATTGTTATAACCTTCTAATCATGATGTTGATAACGTTTAATTTGCAAGGTGTTATCTTGGTGAATTCATGTTCAAAACTCTTTTGTTGAAGGTCATTAAATTTTATAATATTTAAATAATTTTATAATACTTAAAACTCTGTAACAAGTATTGAATAAAAAAGTAATATTTGGGTTGTATAAAGAAAGTAAAAACAAAATCTGTGCAATGTTAATAATTAAATATAGTATATTGCATATAAATATGGTTGTGTCTCTATACGAGTGTGCAGCTAATTTCAGTTCTCACTCTCAAACAATGAATCCAAATCCGAATTGCAAAATATTGTGGCTCTCATATTACATTGGTTGGATCCATTCATTGCAGTGGAAAACTTATGTGCATTTCACTTGCTTAGAAATTATAAAGAAAACGAAATAATTGGATCACAGTAAGTAGCACTCCGACACTTTAGCCAATCTCTTACTCGTCTTTGGTTGCACAAGAAGTAAGTAGAAAAGTCGAAATCGTGACGTTCATCAATGATTCATAACTTTGAAATGAAGAAGTTGAAATAAGATTAGCAACAGTACAAATTTTTATTTTTATGAAATATTTATTACAAAATGCAAAAGTATAACAATAAAACCGTATCTTTTTTTCTATATAAATGTTAATAAATATATCATTGTGTCACTGGTGGAGAGTAGCAACTATGCATTATTTTCGATGAATATAGCGCAGTTGCAATTTATGCCGCATTGCATTTCCTAATGTTTCTAAATATTACCCTGAAATATTGGTCATTGAGTTTTAATTACCTTAATATACTTAGACATAATATTAAACTATATTTAACAACCTTAGTTTACTATGTTTAGTTAAGTGTACGACAACCTTTTAAAAGCTACATTTTTACATGTTCACTATGGTCAATTAAAATTGAGGTGTGGACTTAATTGATAGTTTCTTTTAAAAATTATTGTTCTATGTAAAGTTGTTCATAAAATATATTTTAGAAGTATGTATAATGACTATACGTCTATCTAAAATACTTATATCGAGCGAAAAAAATATGATTTATAAAAAAAACTGCACAGTATATTAAGTTTTGTCTTAGTTAGTGATAAAATACGATTGTGCTAAATATGTTGACTTAACCTTTTCACGCTTTTTATATAGCATACTAAACTGTTGCTAATATGCTAAACTGTTAAATTGCTAAATAGAAATATCGTGAATGCAAATTTTATGATTACAGTAGAGCTCGCTGAAACAGTTAAAACAACACCGAAATATTACAAGACAACCGATTTTGATAATTCAAAATTATGTTAATTGAATCGAATTGAATATCGACATTTCATACAAATTACTTAATAAATATTTATTATATTGATATTATATTTATTATTTATATTTATAATATTTCCTAAATAAAAGTTTTGAAGATGCCTATTATATTTTATTAGTTATGTTTGTTGCTAGTCGGATTCTTTTAATTTCTACTTGATAATTGCACTGCACTTCTTAAGTATGCGTTTTTGCCACATTTTGTGTTTATGTAAAAAAAATTAATAAATTAATAATTAATTAATTAATAAATTTAAGTTTCAAAGTTTTTAATTAAAGTTAAATAGCTAAAAACGTAACTTATATACATTAACTTATAAGTTATTGCTCATTTCTTCTCAATATCATTTATTTAAGCATTGTGCCTATATTAAATATGTTACTTTGATTAAGTTTATATGAACCCTCACTTGTTTCACGCATGCAGTCAGTGTTCAACTTAACTACATACATACATTTAAAAAAAGTGTTGAATAACCAGTTAACATCACTACAAAAGAAAAAAATATGAACCCATACAGCACTATCGTAAAAGCTCCATGTAAAAAAAGTAGAATGTAGTTAATAATTTCACAAGAAACATCTGTAAAACACCACTGCATAAATATTTCTGAAGTTCACAACTATTTTGTTTGACTTGATTCAATCTACTTCCCTCAACCACAGCAAGAAGATTCTCTAATTAGTTCTATTTTATATTTTTTATGCTACTTAAATGACTCTTTTAAGGTTTTTTGGGTGTTTGGTTAATAAATTTTGTATTTAAATTGTTACTAATTGACAAAGGTAAAGCCAGAAGTTCTTCACTTGTAGTCTTACAAATTTACTAGACAGTTCAAAATAATGGAAACAGAATTGCAAAAGCAAAACAAATTTTTAACAAGAAGTACTGGTTTGATTAGAAAGGCTAAGACCATTTAGTTACTATTAAATATATCAAAGAAGTTATCAAATACCAACACTAGAATTTAAATTGAATTTTTTTAAATAGTTTAACTTTGGTCCATTTGTCTATTAGTCAAACTTAGAACTATTTTTAAAAATACATGTATTTTTGTATTTTTAAAAAATATATATAACAACATAATATTGAAACAAAAAAATGTAAAATAATATTTGTAGAAAATCTCTTTATAAACATTTTTAATATTTATAAAACCTCTAATGTAACTAAAACCCGCTTATTATTTTTTACCCAAGGCAAAAGCTAAAGCAACTAAGTATTGTCGAAAAAAAAAAATAATTTACTTCTGTTTAATAATCATCTTAAAAGTTATCCTAGTTTAAACTATATTATACAAAATCACAGTCAAAAATTACTATTTCATTCCCAGTTAACTGCTGTGCTAGGCAGAAAACAAGCAACTTTACCAAACTGCCAACTAACAGCATCAAAATTTCTAAAAATTATAAAAAGTCATTTACAAAAAATTACTTAATTGAAAAAATTTTTTAAAGAAAACCACTGTATAAACATTTTCAATGTAGAAAACAAGTGCTTTTAAATAATTGCTGCTGTGATCTATTAGACAAGGCACTACAAGACAAGACGGCACAAAAAAAAGATTTATATATGCATGCATGTAGTTTCAATATGATATAAATGTTTAAGCGCTCATATATATATAAATATTTAATTACTACAATTTAGTAATTTATTTCATTCAACAAAATAGTTCATTTCATTAAGAAAAAGCACTCAACAACAATCAAAGTCGGTTTTAGAATATATATTGTTGTTTGCTGGTATATTTTATTGTTGCTTCACTGTCCTTTGCATAAAATCTCTATAGTGCATATAGCAGAAATGCATCAAAAACTAAGTTATAAGAATAATTCTGTATACATATGTGGACTTAATTTAATTTAAATTAATTTAATTTATATTGCCAAAAAATTAAAGGTAGACTTTTGACTTACTTAAATTACCGGAGAAGTCGTACACACACGTTTCATTTGTGGAGTTCACTGAACCCAACATGGTGGGTGCCACATGTTCTCCATTTACTTCCGCTTGTAAGATTCGTAAACAAACAAAAGCGACTAACACAAAGCCAGCATGTGAAAGGACGCGAAAATGTGCTGGAACACACATTTTATCCTGACCCATTTTATTTATTTAAGTTTTTATTTTGTCGTTTATTCTTCTGAATGAGAAACCATGAAACACGTCGTATAATTTATTGCGATATCGCAAAAATTCGCGACACGTAAAATGCATCCAAAAAAGTTAAAACGTTGGACTGAAATTTGCGACACGAAACACGTCCAATGCGTTTGCCAGACATTGGAACACTAAACTGAAGAAGTAAAATGTTTCAGAAGGCTTCCTTCGCAATTCTGTTCGAAACAACAACAACAGCAGCAGCAAAAGCAACAATAGAACTGACATAGCCTATTCGGGATGTTTAAGTGTGGAAAAAATCTAAGCATTACAGAGTAAAATTTGCTTCTGTACAGTACAAATAAAATACAAAACTCACAAAGCAAAAAAAAATAAACCAAAAATTTTGTATACGAACTGTTAGAAGACTGTAAGACCACATCACGATGGCTCATTTCCTTTTCCGTTTAAAATTAAGGCCAAATCCTGACACAAAACGATAAAGAAAAAACATCAGACTTATCAAAGCAAATAGAAAGTACTTTCACTTTAGTTCTGTTCTGTTCTGTTGTTGTTGATCCTTTACTTTGGCCATATTATTGGCATAATTTGATTTCAAGTTTTGTTTTCACCAACGGAGCACACGGTCAATAAATACCCAACAGCAGCCGGCTTCTTTCTAGTATTGAAGGATACATTTAATTTGTGCTGTAATTGTTGTTGTTGTTGTTATGCGGGCAATGTTACGGTTAACTGATTGGATGGGTAATGTGAAAATTGATACCAGAGCATAAAACTCCAAAGTGAGTACGCATATGAGTTTGTCCTCCTATGTGCTCGCAGTTCCCAGAAGTAATTTATGCATTTCAGGCATTTTGCCGGCAAAATGTGAACCATTTCTCTTTACGCAATTTAAACTGCTTTTAACATTTTTTCTTCGCAATCAACTGTTTTTTGCAGTTGAATCCAATTTACCAACGATGGTAAAGAGCTACAGAGATATTTAGTTAATATTACAAAGTTGTGTATTACAAATGCACAGTAGCTTCACATTGAAGGAAAAAATGCATAGCTTTAGAAGATCACAACTATCAAAGAGGAAACGAATGCTATATTCATTGTTAAGAATAGTTGAAATAATAGAAATAATACTTAACGAAATATATAAAGTGCTTCGGCTTGATAATATAAAAGTATAATAAAGTGCTTTAAAGTATAATATTTAACTTATAGTGTAATGCAGAAGTCTAATGTCTTCTAGTCTAATGCAGAAGTATTAAATTTAAATACGTTAAAATGATTTTCAAAGAAAATTTCAGTTACATTAAATTATTGAAATATTATATAAAGAGATTTTTTTGAACTGTAGTGAACTACAACAACAAAAATTCATTTTATATTTCAAGTTTTGTTTCGAATATGGTATTGCCAAATACCCATCATCAGTGGTCTAGGAAATTATTCTTGTATTTAATTATTCGTAAATAAATTTTGAGATTACAAGTTCCAGGAATCGAACTTATGCCCTGCCAAATTTGAAACTCAGAGTCAGTGCTTCTTAATCAACTGACTCAAAGCCGTACTTGACTTTTATGTTAGCACATTTTTCTGGAGTTTTTGTTAATTTGTCGTGAAAGTTATATTGACAAATTCACTTGCTGTGTTTAAATATTATATTAAATCAAATTTCATTAAAGATCACATTAAGGCTTATACTGTATGTATGAATACACAAAAATATTGCACTCTTTATAAGTATATTAAAGAACGAAGTAGATAATGAATTTGAGTTATAGGGTAACAATATATATCACGTTTATATAATAATTTTATCTATTAGTCGGCATTTATATTATTCAAAATCACAATAAGTCATTATCACGTTTATATGATAATTTTGTCTATTATTTAAGATTACAATTAATCATTACACATACACTTATGTATCGCTGTGCTTTACGCTACACAAATGCATGCCCACAAAAGAAATATCTACTGACTTAGCCGACACTAAAACCCTAAGTGTCGTCTAAAAAATGCAAGCATGTTATAGGAACATATTAGAGTTAGTAGAGAAAATATAATGCAGAAGAAAATGATTAAAAAAAATTTTATTATTGAAATTAATAAGGCAGTGGTAACTTTTATAACAAAATATATTTAATTGCTATTCACAAATTGAAATAAAGACTATCTTATAATTAATTCATTAAAAACAGAAATTCTTATTAGAGTTCCTTAGAGTTAAATTAGAGTTCCTTAAATATAAAATCACATCTTTGATTCTCAAATATGAAATTTACGAAAATTAATGAGGAAATGTATTAGATGAACTTAATGTGTACAATAACCAAAGGCTGATATTTTTATAAAGTGAACTAGTGACCCGGTTGTTTAGAAGCCTTCAGTTAATATATGATCCAGTACCTTCTTTCGAATTTTAAAGGGCCGAAAGTGAGCGAAAGAGAAAACAAATTGTTGACAAAAGCTAATAACGAATAAATGAATATTGTATTGTCGATCAATAGCATTGATTTATGTCTAGATTAGAAAAAAAAACTTTCTTCAGATAATAATAAATGTATAATATTTTTAGTCGTATATTATTATATATGTTAGTGACATTCAGACGGACTAGTTATACATTATTTGTTATTTGTTATCTCTCTTAATCTCATCTCCCAGTGGAGCATAGGACCTCTAACATTCTTTTATATCGGATTTTGTTATTTGATTATCGAAAGATATAGTTCCAGGAATAATTGGCGTCCCTAAACTTTTCTTCAATTGTCCTCCTCCAATTTTAAGCTGGCGCTACAGGTCGACGGCTGTCTTGAGGATTCCACCCCAGAGATTGGCGTGCAATGTTTTCATTAGGTTATTTGTTATGATAAATGATATCATATATATATAAGAACCACTTTTTTAATTTTTTGCAGTAAAATTAGTAAGTGAAGTCTTTACACATCATTATAAGTCTTCATAACTAGCATATTAAGGAAACAAATCTATGATCCAAAAACCATTATTTGAAATAAAATACAAACTTGTTCGTGATATGTAAAAGCTGACATATAATGAATCAGATATTGCATAATTCATTATAGTGCTAATAATCCACGTGCAATTGTATGTAGCGCTCACGAAATTTATCACTAATAAAATCAAGTTTTTGAAATCCTAAAAAACTGCATTAAAAACCATTTATGACTACATACTTACCCAGCGATTTGTAAACTTTTCCAGTATCTGCCAGATTATAGGTGATAAATTGTTTTTCCACTGCGATTTTTTCCATAGAAATAACAGCTTCTGCGGCTATGATAAAAAGGGATAATAAAATTTATTGAATTTATGTGATATAAATTTTATAAAGTTTTTTTAAAAAAATTACCTTCCGCTGGTGTAGACTTTGTTGTCGCTCTTGTAGTTGTTGTTGCTATTCTACTTGTGGTTAAATAATTCACTTCGATTTCATTATGTAAAAATTTAAATTTTCCACGAAATCCTTTATCGGTTATATTTGAGCTGGCATTGAATTCAATAAGCAAATCCGGACCGGAACTAATAATCCGCCGCGTGGGTAAGGAATTACAGAGTACGTCAATGACTGCGTTCATATTTGCCGATTCGGAATCGAATATTGTGAGTTTATCCATGCTACAACTGTTTCTTAAATTTAGTTGAAGTTATTAATTTTTATTCTATATTATTATTTTGAAAGCAAAATTTTATATTTTTAAAAGAAGTCAATGCTCACCTTTGTTCCTGTTTAGGTATATGCAGCTCTTCGAATATAATTTCAACGCGACTATCAGGTCTTTGAATTTGAAGTAGATAAAAAAGAGTAATTCGTAAATGATTTGATGTGATCTTAAAAAATGTATCCATATAGTTGATTAATACTTACCGACCTATAAATTTGTAAGCACATTTGATGTGAGCAGGATATTTGGCAGGAAATCGGGGCGAATGAAAATATTGCCAAATTTCCATGGATTTTGGTGCTGAAATAGCATCCGCAAAAAAATAATAGTCACAATAAGAACCAGCGATGAGACGTCCATCATTTCTAAAGTAGTCTAAGAATAGCAAATGATATGAAGTTGTTTCATAGTTGATTTTATTAATTATATTACACATGGAGAGCATATTTTTACTAAAACTTTTTTAATTTAGGTATTCTTTTATGAAAAATATATAACAAAATATTACTAACAATAATAGCGTTATCATGATCAATATCCAATGGTAACATAAAACGGCGATCCATCTCTAAAATTTTATAATGAAAAGTTGGCGCATGTGATAATGGATCTTACTAAATGTGATAGATTCCGAATTTGAAAGCGTTTTAATTGATTATTTCATCAGAATAACCTTTTTCATGCTCGATGGTTTTACAAACAGAAAGTCTTCAAACTTTTAGTGATAAAATGATTTATATAGTAGTAGTAACTACACATAGAAGAACTTCCAATCTATTAGCACTTCTGCAATCTCTATAAGCTTTGAAGGAATACATAGCTTCTGCTTTATGGGCGTACACAATAACCGACTTAACGCGATATAATAGTATACAAGCTGTTTTGAAGCTGTAATCTTATTAAGAGCGATGATTCAATCCAGCGAAATAATAATAAAGTAGTATGCAGAATACTAATTGTTATACAAATTAGCGTTGGGGGTTCCCAAGAATTTTATTAAACCTGTGATTTTAGTTATGAAATTATTTTGTTAGGGATATAAAACTGAAAAAGATGACCCTTTTGACAAAAAAATTTTGCGAACATTGTTTGGTGTATACAAAATAAAAAAAAATTAACCTCATACATTAATAAATGCCCATTTATAGTAAGGTACATCAAAATACAAAGACTAAATTTCATATACTATTAAACAAAATTCGCTTAGACATTTTACCGGGAAGTAATAAAAGCCAAAGGAATATGTAGGATATGCAAATGATAGACTTTAAGCAGTTGTCATTATTAAATGGAAAAGAAATATTATATGTATATTTTGTAAAAAAAAGCCATCGTACTATAGACTCAGCATATAAAAACTCTTATATCGAGACCAAAGAAATAATCTGCAAGAATTAAATTAAAATAAAAACTAATAAGGATTGTTTAAAGTTTATTGTAAATTAATAACAATAGAAATTAAAAAATAAATTATATTATATAAATAGATTTTTTGTTAATGTAAAAAATTTACCTTTTCTTAAAAATCGATACTCTCCAGTTATATTCAATATCCAACTATTGATTTCTCTTCGTTCTCTAGGTTTTTTAAAGCGTACACGTATACCCAGTACCTTGCCCGCACTATAAATAAACTCGTCCATACGTAAATCATTGACAATGGCAGCTGCTGCGCTCGCGTCGATAGCCGCAGTTGCATTAGTCGCCGATGTGGCCACTGCTGCTGCCACCGATGTTGGTGTCATATTTGCTGCACTGCCGCTCGTTGCTGTAGTATTTGCGCGATTACAAATTACATATTCCGGATTTGTTGAGTTCTCAATGACGGCCTCTCGCAAATACGGAAATATTTCAACATAGTCCGAGCAGCTGCAAACATAATAGAACGGAAGTGAAGCCAAAAATGAAATGAAGTTTGAAATTTTTTGGCCTAGCATCCTAAATGCACCATGACTAAATACTCATTTATTTGTGCAAATAAATACCCATCCCAATTTATTTGATTTAGATATAATGCTTATGATTTATTTACTGAAGTGTCAGAGATTTTATATTCAAATTACATGCAATACTTTTATTAACAATGTGCATTTATGTTACAATTGATTACAAACTAATTCACTCAAATGAATATTAAATTCAAACTCTTCTATGCGTCCTCGTTGGGTTGTTTAGGTTTTCGCAGACCAGACAGTATTTGACAGAATGCTGGGTAGTCTATCATGGGCGGTTCTTCGAGAGATTTTGGTTTAGCGAGTGGCGCATGTTTTAATGCTTCATCAGCCTCACTAGTGCTCATCACATCTCCATAATTTGTCAGCTCCGTATAGATTCTAAAGTATAATTACGAATTATTAGTAACTGTTTCCAGCAAGTAAAAATATACATATCTATATAGTCGAAGAACCTTATCCACTTTAACGATTAAAAAAATTATAACAATTTCTAAATGTATCGCATATAAACTTGTATATATATGCGATACATAGTAAATGTTTAGAATATAAAAGATGTAAGAATTCAATTTTTTTTATTGTTTTTAATTTAAAATGTGTACTCCTCTTTGGCTTTCAATCTTTAAAAACTGACGTTTGCAGTCAATTATAGTAGCGCTTTATGTCAGTAAGAAATTAAATCAAATTAACAGTCCTCGTTCATCGTTCATTTTTTTTAATGTTTATAACACGGTCTGAAATTCAGACTAAAATATGTAAATATGAATGTAATCATCATATACCTAGTATGACTTCTCTTTAATACTTCTAAGAAATTTTTCTTTTATATGAATTATATGTAAGTTTAAATTTTTATTAAATCAACTGTAAATTTAATATAAAATAAAAATTTTTCGAGTTTTTAAAGTACAAATTCTGGCATAATTTTTGAAAGCCCTTTTATATATACATATAGATATATAGTTATACTTTTTAACTTACTTTTTCTCGTCAATTTTGCCGGTGCCGTAATCATCCCATTTACTCCAGGCTTCCAAAAGCACATCTTCCGGATCTAATTCAAGGGTACGATTACATATCATTTCGACAAAAGCTTCATAATTCAGTGGTTGCTTAGCCTGCATAAAATATTTTCAGTTAAAACATTACTATATCCATTCAACGATAGATGTTTCCAAAAATCTCTCCTTCTCATTACCTCCTTAAGCATATCATCCAATTGCTCATCAGACATATCTGTACCCAACGCTAAGAAAGTGCAACGCAAATCATTTTTTGACAAGAGGCCATCTCCATCAATATCGAAAAGCACAAAAACCTTTCGTATAATATATATAGTTTATATATGAATAAATTGCATTTATTTTTTTATTTTGCACAATTTACTTCCTTTAATTCGGCCAGTTTTTTAATATCCAAATCCGATAGAGCAACATCATCATTGGCACTGAATTCGTCCGGTAGTTTATATTGTCCGGTAGATTTTGGTAATTTAAGTGTTGGATTAAAAATTTCATTAATCACGGCCATTGCTTCCGATTCCGTTGGTGGTGGTACCTTTGGTTGTGAGGACTTTCGTGCAGAACTCGCTTTACGGCGACGCTGTGATTTGTGCGATAAAAAAAATGTTATCCTTGCAATCCAAATGCATTGTTCAACACTAAAATTTTACCCTACCCGTTCAAGTTCCTCGAAAGGAATGGAATTATCCATTGCGGACATTTTGTTCCCGTTTCTTTGTTAAATAAAAGTCCTTTAATTAATTTTTTTTTTTTTTCAGAAAAGTCTCAATGGCTTTGATATGTAAATTTTTCGGACTTCACACTTTTCGATTTCAAATTTTACAACCGCTTGAAGTTCCGTTCTTACAAGAGCTTTGCTAATTTTCTACTGAAAAATCGTTTCGAATTTATCGTCGATTTTATTATAAAATCGAATTAAATTTTTTCTATATCCAAATTGTTTTTGTTGTTGTTGTCTTTATATATTGGAATTAATGAAACTGTGTTTAGCCGCACACACCATAATGGACACAAATGCATGAGTGTTCCGTTTTGCCGTTTTGCCATTTTGTATCTTATATTTTTAGACAAAAATTTCGTCAAATTCAATTTTCCATTACAGTGCAATAATTTTTCGTTCCTTTAGATGACCACCCTCAACTCTCACCTTCTGCGCATTAATCTACCTCTCCTTCATCAAAACATTGGGAATACTTGAAATTGAATGTCAACTACATTTTTTTCGAAACACTTTTTTTTATTATTTTTTAGTGCGTTTCAGTGATTTTGCAGCACTTTTAATATTTTTCTTTTAAATAATTTATGTTTATACTGTAAAGTGGACTTTTCATCTGAACTATTGTGGGTAGTATATTTTTAAAAATTATTCACTTAACAATATGTAAATCTTATATGGATGTGTCTTAACTTCCAATTTTATTAAAATTGCAAAATTTTTTCAAAAAAAAATCATGAACATCATTTATTAAAGTATTTAAGTCATAAATTAAAAATGTCCTCATTAGGCAGTGGACTAACTTATTGATATTTTTATCGATTTCAATATTACACAATAGAAAAAAGACACTTTGAGCATTAATTAATTTTGATCACATCAATTATACTTTATTCACATATGTTCTCATAGGCACTCACATATATTAAGTATATGTTTGACATATATATTTGTATTAAATAAAAATAAAAAAATTTCAAAGTGCCAGCTTATAGCACTAAAAAACAATATAATAAGTTTCAATTATAAAATATAATTAATATAATTACTGCCGAACATTTCGTTACGTGGAACCAAACAGTTAATATATGTACATATATATACTCAATACGGTGAGAGGTATTGCAATAAATCTTCAAATGAAAACAAAGTTTAGAATTTAGTTAATCAAATGATTAAAAGAGACCTGTTAAATTAATTTATTATTTTATTGATTTTGTTAGTTATGTTCTTCTATACTATATAAGGTAAATGTTCTTGCAGGAATTTCCTGGGTCTGTAAAGTTTCTCTTAACAACCGTTTCTAAATATGTCTTTCCAACTGCTTTCGCCTATTCTACGTAACGCAATGTTTATTTTATCCATCCATTTTTGTAAGTGAGTTGATAGTAAAAATGTTGGTTTGTGGTCTGTCTTCCAGATATCTTACAGTAGGTCTGAGGTGACTGTCCCGTGGTCTAAAAATGTAATATTTGAAAATGTCTTGTTTTCAGAAAATATTTCAATAAACTTTAAAGAGCTGTACTAGAGTCACTGTGGTGGGGGGATTCGTGATCCACATTTGGAAAGTGTTATTGCTTAACAAACCAAGCCGATGCCAACTTTAGCGAAACAGTTCTGGTTTTTAGTCTGATATCCCCGGACTACTTAATAGAGTTATAACAAGTGTATGAGCCAAAAACAGAAAAGGTTAAAACAGAAAAGAAGGCAAAGATATGAGCAATCCATTTAAATTTTTGCAATATTATGGATTTAAGTATGCTATATTCTTTCATTAACTGGTATAGCTCACTGTTGTTTTATATCCTGTGCGTCTAGTTGTTTTTTAGGAGGGTTAAAAATTTCCCACAAGATTTTTTTTTTCCAAGCAATGTAACTTAATTACCTTTCACTTCAGTCAATCTATAAGTTTCAAGCCCAAGACCTTATTAGAATTTTTTCTGTCAAACGATAAAACATTTTGTTAATCTATTATTGTGGCAGGTCAGCAGTTCAGATATTCTTCCGCTTTCTGTATTTAGTGAGTTTTTGCTCTTTCACTATAATCTATTGTAGTTAATGAGATTAAAGAAAGTAGCTTTCAAACTTATTAAATTGTATTATATGTTTTATGAAAGTCTTTTTCAACTTCTTAAAATTAATTATTAATTAATATATGTTAATTTTATTAATAAAAAATATATTCGGACAAAGTGCAGAATATAGACGGTACGTACACTCTCAAAGGAACTTTTCGTAAACGCTTGAGGTACTTTCACAGCTGTGACAAATGCTATGCCAATATATATTCGATTTTGAGATACAATATTAAATGCATTATATCCAAAGATTGATTGATGCAAATGAAGTGTGACAAAAATATTTTTAATATTTTTACTTTGACTTGGGAGAGCATGTGACGAGAGCGCAAAGCACACTAAAAGCTGCTCGTCCGCGTATCTTGTAGATGCACAAAGGCGTATTTATTATTTTTATTTTGGCAAATTCAAAGATTGGACATTTTCATTTGAGGTAAGTAGGCTTGAGGTATGCACAGCAATTTTCACAATTAAATTAAGTAAAGGCTTTAGCTGCCGCTGATGCAGTTGCTGTAGTTGCTGCAGTTGCTGCATTTTGCTCATTACCTCAAAATGCCTGATACGACTAATTGTATCAGTAGAATGTTTAATAGCTAAAAAATTCCTTAAAATAAAAATTAAAAAATTTAAAAATCATAAATGTTGTTTTTGTTGTTAATTTGTTTAAATATTTTCACAAAATTAATATATTCGCAATTTCTTTTCGACTTTGCGCTGCATTTAAATTGTTTGGTTTGATGAGTTTTATTACAAAATATTTTTTTTACATTTAAACCTCTTGTTCCGATTTTCTTTTTTTTTTGTGTTTAAATTCAATTAATGTCAAATTTATAGAAAATAATAAATAAATTTATTATTTATAGTCTTTAACCTACTCAATTATAAAACAAGCGCAGCAGTTCAGCTTCAATGAGTATCTCAATGATTTTTTGTTTGTTTTTCGTTAGATACGAAATTAAATATATTTATTATTATTATTTTTTTTTTTTCGTAGTTATTGTGTATAACTGCTTACTTCCGCAAACTTTTAATTTAAGTTAACTTGTAGATATATTATTATTTAATTAGAGACCCATCAGAGATAACTAAATGTGTACTTACCCAGTGGTGAGTTGAAGTTGCTTAAAACGAAAGGCCACAATATCATCACTACCGCCTGTTATGAAGATCATATAGCAATCATTCTTAGCGGTCAACGCCAATGTGGCGTTCAAGTGCACCGCACCCCAATTACTACTATTGCGTTCCATAGCATGGTGGCAGGAGCACTCTAGAAGTACACCAAAAACTTATCCATAACACAGACACTTATAGCAGTTCACAGTTAAACGTTTAGAAGCCGAGCATGGCTCACACTCACCAAGCCACAGACTCTGTTGCAACAATTGTGTGCTTGCAACGCACCAACTGCAATACATTAACACCAAAAACACGTGCAAAATGCTCAAGTAACTCATTGAAGCCACAAAAACGCTTTTAAATTTAAACTCAAAACACAACAAAAAAAAATTAAATAAGTAAATGCTTATATAGCCGAATGTATCAAACACTTCAAAATCGCACGAAAGGCAGACAGTTTAAGAAATGCACCGTCAAAGTGCCTCGTTCAACACCTTCACCAGCACGAAATCCGTTCAGTTCTCACGTGCAACTTTGGTTATCGGAAAATGGCAACTGGCGCGCTTTGAGTCCTGTTCAACGTGTCGATGCTGCATGAATTGGATTTTCCATTTCATCTCATTGCTACGTGTTAACACATGTCTAACCACAGTTATGTATGAGTGTTTATGGACGAGTTTATGGTGGAGGTGTGTGTGTTGCTTTTTTTGTGATAACTTCGTACGGGTACACTTGAATGGAGGAAGCGGAAATAGCGTTAATGCCTTTTTTTCAATTCGAAACTTTACATTTAAAAATAGCGCAGCGTCGACTAACTTACTGATTTAGTGGCTGCGCCTTCAGACCACTGTACGCTTGACGACCTATATATGTACATCAGTAGGTGGATAGATCCTTAGCTAGGCGGAAGCGTTGTACGAGTATTGTATGTGCGCATTGTAGGACAAGGGGATGTGCACCATGCTGCTGAGTATGATATGAGCAAGAAATTGATACCAGCAATGTACGTAGAACTAAGTAGCATTGCCGTTTAGCACTAAAGGCGAAATTATCAAAAATTATTTCATAGAAACGAGTCAACTTCACTCGCCAAAGAGACAAAAACTTTTACTGCCCACAACACATACAATAGCAGACGGAATAGCACCACTATTTGTAAGGACATTATCCGGAGCAGTTAATTTATTAATGCTAACAACGTATTATAGTGGAAGAGGTGATAGTCGGCTTAATGGCTATAGTACTTGGTTAGTACTTTCACGCAACTTTCAAAGTTTCATGACTTTCTATTTGCTCTGAAAGTAATTATTTAATAAAAGATAAATTTAAATTCATCTTTGAAAAACTTTGTCAAACTTGGTTCCATAATTTAAGAAGAATTTAAACGTAATTTTCACATGACATAGCATATAATATTAAAAACATGCTATGATACTAGGTCTACCCGGTCGTGGCTGTTGTACAACACCTTCTTTGTCAATGCCCAATTTAGGCTAGTTCAAGATTAAAAATCATTTAAGCAATTTTTCTTACCGACCTAACAGAGTTATCATTGGAATTTAGCTCGTTTATAGACTTGTCAGGTTGGTTCTCTTTCACTTGAATAGGGTGGTCAGGCCCATCAGTGTTATTTGTACACTGATCATTGGCTTCCTCTGGGGGGTTTTGCATATAAACAACGTTAATTCGTGGTGTGATCACGAACTATTATTTAAGAACAAGTAGACTTTGGTGTATAAGACTGGTTTTCTAACCTAAGCTATCCATATAATATCAGTACAATTTGTGTGGAATAGGGATGAATTCTAAAGCGATGTCAACTATCGGTTCGTTAAAGGACTACAACTGATATCACATTTCTAACTATCAGAATAGAAGAGAAAGAATGATAAAAAGCCAGAGATACAGGACAGAGTTTAAAAGCATTTAGAGAAAAGTTCGATTGAAAAGTTCCTCAATATGTAAAATATCAGGAAATTGTGGCTAAGGTTAAAACACCCGCGTGTTAAAATCATTATGTTTTTATTAAAACTTTTAACCAAAGTGAAAGAATAAAGAACAGGGTTGGAATGATTGTAATACCTCATAGCCTCATAGGTCGCTCTTCTAATGTGTTTTGGATAAAACACCACACATTAATTCCATTGATAAATACTTCATACATTTTACTGGGCTATCACACTATATATCGTAATCGATAATCTTAAATATTACGACATGATTCTCATCGCAATGAGTTAGTGCTGGCGATGTGGCATAGAGTTTCTCAATAACTCCACTTTATTTTAAGGAGGCTGGAGAAATAATACTACTTTTATTTCACTCCACAATTATAAACCTCAAAAGTCTATGAATAGCATATATTTTTATATTAAACATATTTATTACTAAAGGCCTGTTGTGCATTAAACCAAATTCCTCCATTGTTTGGCCAACACCCTCAGAGTAATTTCCTACATATATGTTTTTAGTCGCGTCCTGGCAACTAAGAGAAGTTCAGCAAAGTATTAACGCTTACAACGTCTCACAGCTGTCCTTGATAACAACATGAGATTTCGGTTATTGATCCTATCTGTATATAAACCGATAGCCGCATCCGTTTTACAAATCACTGCTAAGAGGTGGTTTTAGAGAGTTGAAGTCTGATAGGCTTTTTAATGATTTCATATATAACTAAGAAAAGTACTCTCACTGCGAGTTTACTTAATTTACCAGACAGATTATTGATAAAGAAATCACATATAAAATTTATAAAATACAATCAGTAACATAACTTTGTGTGTCTAATATATAACTATCTAGAAAAGAATAAAACCCCTCTTTAAAGTTTTCGTGATATATTTATGATATTTTTAGACTATCATTAAATTAAACACTTTTACTTCTTATTATATAATATGCATATAAATATATTAATAAAGGTTAAAAATACCAACAGAACCACTCGCTTAATTCAATTTTATTTAGTATTTTATTGTTCTCTCGAACCCCAATTCAACGTCTGTCCTGAAGAGCACTGATTGACTAGTTTTTATTAACCTTGCTATGATAGCAATAGAACACACAGCCAATTACTCACAGCCACTAACTCAGTAACTCATAAGGACGTAGGACGTACACATCCACACCATTAAACACTCGACAAATCCTTTTAATGTAACAATTTCATTTGGCTTGTGGCATCCACTAAGTTCTTCCGAAGTATATTCACATTAATTTGATAGCATTAATAGATGATAAATGAGCTGTGCGCACTACTCCGTCGACTGGCTAGTGTTGGCACATTGTAGCAGTGATTAAGTTTTTGCCTCATTGCCCTGCTCACAGTTCACGACCAGTCAATGTACGAGTGCATGTGAAGATGTGTCCTTATGAGAGTCGTTCATATATTTTTAATCAATTTTGTTATCACCTTTCATCGTAGAAATTGTTTTTTGGTTGTGCCTCAATCGATACGCCATTAACACTTTCAGCAAAATCCCATTGGCTTATTCTAACGCCAGCAGTGATGATTATAGTTAATTTTAAATTGATTGATTTTCTTCTTCTTTTTGCACTAAAAATAGAGCACGGACATACTTTGAACCCTCACACCCTATAAGCAATTAACTAGTTTGCGAGCAAGTTCAAAGCAAGAATTTTCACAGAGCAGAAAAGTGCGACCAAATATGGAGTACTAAAGCGTTAATGATTTAGTCTGACAATAGAAAAAGTCTTATATTAGTAAAACTATAAAAAATAATCTTCAATGCTTTTATTTAAATTTATTTCATTGTTTATTTTTAGGTTTTTTTGGCATACATATTGTATAGTAACTCTTTATTAAAATAAAGTTTTATTGCTATGCGGAGTTTCTAGTTTCTGTGCATATGGACGGACGACTACCTTTGAGTGCGGAATGGAGTCTTTGGTACTATGTTGTTAAAAGAAGCTACTGTTTGCTTTATAAACAATCTATTTTAGTCATTTACTAATCCTCTACTACATTTGCGATTTTACTTCCTTTTCTATGTTGAGTTTTAATTATTTTTGCAATTTTGATCGATAGTTATTGGCTAATATTTCAGCTTTCTTAGCATTGATTTCCTTTAAAATAAATAAGAGATAAACAATGGTTATATTTGTATATTTTAAGTCCCATACCTCATAATCATAGGGTTCCAGAAAATCTTTGCATCTCTGTAGCCATTGCTTAATGCGATTGAATGGATGTAATTCATGACCGAAGGCTTCAATTTGAGAAACTGTCACCATTAGGCAGAGATCAGCAATTGTGAAATGGTCTGTTGCGGCGTAATCACGTCCTTTACGAAAGTATATGTAATAGTATTATTTAACAGAATATTCTCATTAATATGTAGAGTAATATATAAAAATATTTAAATTGTAAGAGGGGAAGAAGTTACCTTTTAGCATGACATCGAACCAACTGAGAGCTTCGCGAAGCTTTGCCTTCTTACTCTCATCTAAAGGCGCACCCATTAGCATAGTTGGAAACTACAAAATGTAACAACAATATATGGTATATACTACATATAATAAATATATATATATACTTATATATATATATAGTCTTGGAATCGATATCTGGGTAATTGAACAATAAGACAGGCATATAAATAATATTTTATGTCAAAATATTAAGTTGATTTAGTTATAAATGTTAATGAATTCGCTAATAATTTATATTATAAAAGAATCACCTTTTATGGAATCTGTTATGCTTTTTCTGGAAGAAGTTTACTATTTTAATTCAAACGTAGTTTAATGATCAATAATCCTAACAATATAGCCTGGCTCAACTTTCCAGAGCTCTTTTGATTGAATGAAAGATAATTAAAGGTAAAAGATTCTCTTACTCGCAAAACCACCAAAGAAGATAGGTTCTTATTTCTTTATATATTTTATGAAATCTACAGGTGTCTGCGTATTTTATAATTCTAGCGATATATAAAAATTAGTATTAACTATGGACCTTTTAATACCTTTTAATGTTCATTTATTTTATAAAAAATAACAAATAACAATCAAGATGAAAAGAAACTTACGAAATAATCCACCATACGATGGTAAAGCGTTCCTAAATCAAATTGCATACGTTGGTCGACCATTGCTCGCACACGTATGTCCTTCGGATAGAGAGCATCGTCTTTACCGTAAGCTGCCACTAAATAGGCTAGAATAGCTCGACTAGGTAATTAAAATAAAAAATTAAAAAGAAATAAATGTGAATGTATAGAAAACTCTTTAGCACTTATAACATAAATTAAAAAGAATTTCATAGGTAATAATCAAGAGTTATACAAAACTAAAAATGTAATAGCATTTTATTCACGTTTATATAAATGTTATTAATTATTTTATAAATTTCAATAAAAATAAAAGTACTGTATCGATCTGATAACATTTTCTTAGGGTGAGATTACCTTTGAAGGTTTAAACTATATTAATGGATGAAAACTCAGAAGCAAAAAAGCGAAACTCAGTCGGAAACGTATATTGTAACTTCTTAATATATATATAAATGATTTAAGGATATCTGCACTAAAAAGTTGAAGCAACAATATGTTCCTAATCAAAACAGAACAGATCATACCTACATCGCCTTAATATACTATTAATGTTGTATTTGTAGATTAAATGAAATACTTATCATGTAAAATTGATAATAAATATGGACAAGAATAATTATTTGTCTCAGTTAAATTTTGGTCTCTCTGTTGGAAATCAGAAAGAAACAAAATTTTATTTTACAATTCTAACCTTACGTTTTGCTTAATAAATAAAAACATTTCAGATAACCCTAAAGATTTGGTCAAAAAGCAATAAAACGTCGGATTAGAATTATAATCCTCTTATTCATATACCAATAAAAATATCAGCTCAAATAAGACTTAACTAAATAATATAACAAATTTATATTAAAAATATTTATTGTCTTGCTACGTAGAAAAACAGAAAAGAATTATATTGTTCTATTTGAATAACGTGGTGGTCCAATTTAATCCATAAAACTTTTTCTAATTGAATCTTGCTTTCACTGAGATAAATGAACTACTATACTAAATGCAGTAATGAAAACTCTGATAAAAATGAGAGCTAATAACACTATTACTCTTAAAATTTCAAGTGAGACTTTCGCAGAATTAAATTCAATTATGTAAATTAAAATAAAAAAGTGATGTTTATTGATATTCAGTCATTTTACACTTACCTCTCCCACAACACCAAACCCTGATCGTCCATAGTCGGAATACAGTGTTGCGGATTGATTTGCAAGAATTCAGGTTTCATTTGATCACCTTCCAACACATTTATGATTCGAAGCTCAAATTCAATATCCAATAATTTGGCTAGTAACAAAATGCAGCGACAAGGCGGGCTTGGTGGTAAGTAGTATAGGATGGGATTCATTTTTCCTCCTCTGCTCAAAATACAGTAAACAAATTCTTTAACAATGTGAGCTGTCTCATCAAACATATTAATTATATAAACACAAATAATCACAAACAACCATTAACCAAACGAGTCAATTGTGAATTTAAAAAAATAAAAAACTGAATTGAAGTAATCGACACAATGACGGTCAGTCAATGATTGACTTAACACAAATTGCGGCCAGTCTGCATATGTAAACGTAAACAAATAAGTAATAAGACAAATATCGATTGAATGCGAAATTATATTAATTAATTATGAGTGGAAAATGTTTATGGGTGAACAAATTGTGGATAATGGACAGCCAAGCCAACAAAGTCAGCAAAGTCCATAAACGTAAACAATGAGACGGGAATATTGAATGAAAAAAAAACGTTGTTGAAATTTTCGAAAAAGCAAATTTTATATAATAAGAAGAAGAAAAATTCTTGAAACTGAAGAACGCCAAAAACGCGGCATTAATTATTTTTGTAGTGGTGTCACTAACCAATCGTTGGGAGACAGAATGAGTGGGTGTTTTGACATAACCCGAAAAAACACAGCAAATCGCTGCTGTAATTATTGTTAATTAAAGCCTAAAATTATGCTACACTTTTTGTTGGTTTCAAGCAACTACTAGGTGTAGTGACAGTTCCGTTTTAGCGCGCTTTCTTTCAATTTCAATTCAACTGTTATTTCGATTTGTATTATTAGATTTTAATTAAATTAATTGCTCAACTCACTTGATTTGATGCACGAGCTTATGTTGCACCACTGTCACCGTATCAATGCAATTCCCCAGTGTGTCTGCTTCAAATAAATTAACACTTCACCACTTGGGTTGCGAGTTTCAGTTTGTAGTTTGTGGATTTGCACAAGTTTTGGGTATAAGGAAAGCGTTTTAATGTTTGGCACTTGGCTATCGACTTAAGTGAAACATGTCCTTGAGTGGATTTACAATTCTTTTATTTATTTCCGTTACTTTCGCACTACAAACACAGCACCGACCGTACACTCTTCTGTTATGACACCAGCGACATTCATTTACTTCGTCTTATATACAACACACAATACTGTGCATGTGTAAAGCTTGTGATTAAATAATACGTTTTGTCTTCAGCAACAAATACAAATTGTGTATTTATTTGTTTATGTTAACGTTTTTGGGCGACAGCGTTGCCAGGATACTCAGGATTACACATTTCTGGCGTTTCCAATCGAAGTCCATACAAAAAGCCAAATTTCGTATTCACTAATTTGGTATACTTGAAGCGTATCCTGCGCGTGTCCTGCCAAACTGTTTGAACTGTTTCCTGCCTTTTGCGCTTTTTCCGCTGTGTCAGCATGAGAAATTTATTTATTTTTTATGTTTTAAGTTTGGTCAGTTAAATTTAAAAATAGCGACGCTATTGATTATTTCGAAATTAAATATTCTAATTAGGTACACTTGACTGCAGTAGAAAGTCATAGTCATAGTGAAAGTGAGGAAGGAAATTGATTTCAACGAATTAAAATAACCTTAACTTTAGACTCACGACGAAACACAAAACTTTATAACGATTTCTACGCTGATTAAAAAACGTTCTTTCAATTTCAATTTCACTTTCAACTTTGACATTTACTCATCTCACCAATTTCCAAACAGGTGCTAAAGACTCCTAGACTGCTAAAGACTTTCACAATCAAAAATAAATATTAAAAATTTTACTTATGGTATCTATTCAATTTCTTCACAAATTTCTTCTACTTATGCTATACTTTATACTTTTCACATTTAAGATGTCCTTAGTCTTTAACCTTCTTGGCCATAAAAACTTTTCCCACAATTATTGTTTCAATAATAGAAGACATACTCATTACATATGCTAATCACACTTTATATCTTAGTAAAAGTTTTCAGAAAAAAATACCTTTTTATAATAAATTATTCATTTAATTAAATTTAATATTTTTATAATTAACTGAAGAGGATAACAATGACACTGAATAAATTTGAAAAGTGGATCACTAGTATGTATGTTCGAGTCAGTGCAACTGGGCACTTTTACTCTTTGATAGCTAGGGGTACTGCAGGGTCCCACCCTTCTCATTGACTAATTTATGTCAATTATTCCTTATAAACTTCATGATTATTTAGCGATTGATCTAAGATCTGCGTATCTTCCCGTGCGGAGAGTGATTACTCTAAGATTAGATAGTGTTAAGTAGAATAGCCTGTCAGTTTTCTCATATAACTTCAGGGCTCTGTCCCTTAAGCATTTTTTGATCACTAGTATTTTTATTAGTATTTTCTAACTTAAAAGACTTTGCTTTAATTATTAGATACTCCATATGAGTAAAAGTCTTCCTAACAAACCCACAAGATACTATCGCTGAAAAAAAAAGTGCAACTATAAAGACTTATAACTCGCTGTCCGATACAATCGCCACACTTACACAATACTATCTCAATTGTAGATACGCCGACCGATTAGGGATTCCTTTTAACAAATATTATTGTAACTGATGATTAGAAAAAAAGTATTCGTCAAAATACACACATTCCATTTCTTATTCTTAAAATCCCTCCGATATCAATGGCATAGATATTGAAGTCTTTGCTTTCTTTAGTAAAGCAACAAAGTAGATTTCCTGGTCCAGTGTAGAGTTTTCCTGTTAGTGATGGAGTACCTATTTATATTTGAATGTTTATATAAGTATATATACATATATATAAACTATGTTATCACAATGGCCCCAGTTTTTGGCCCTAAGTGCCGCGGTGTTTTCTATAAGATGAGCTACTATATCTATATTACATTATTTTACGTTAATATACAGTTGGATTGAATATATATATAAAAAAATATTTGTATATAAAAACTGTGATATTACAATGGGCTCAGCTGGCATTTGTATCCTTTCTTATTTTAACTTAATAAATAGTTAGATTATTACGCAAAAATGTTTAAGTATTGCACTTCAAAGAAGAATTCATTACAATTTTAAAATTTTTTTTATGTTTTAGAAACATACACTTACCTGTTACCAAAAAAATACACAACTTCTTAATGCGAACATGTCTAGCCCAAATAATTAAATACCTGTCATCTATACTCTAATGGACTCGATACAAATTAGTTGTTATTGTTCTTTAATTTTTATTTTAAACGAGACATTTCAGAATTAAATATAAGAAAAAATGCAAAAATTATAGTCTCTCTAATAAACTTTGTTATAAAAAAATTATTATATTAAACTAAAGGGACATATTTTACACAATATCAAAATAACATCATATTTATAGCCACTACTGTACCACTAGTTGCGTCCACTCGCAACCATTCAACTGTACAGTGGTTGTGAAAAAAGTTGAGTTCTTATTTCAAAGAAATTTTTTTTAAATTTGTTACCTGACTATTTCAAGTAGAAAATAAATCTAATCTATGACTAAGATTACCTGTGGGTGAACAATAGAATTAAGATTGTTTTGGAAATTCTGAAATATGTGTGAATGCAGGATGTATGAAATTACCCAAGCAAACCAAAATAATGTATGTCTGCCGATTTAATGAGTCTGACTTACGCCAGTGAAATATGAAAATCCATTTTTAACTAAATTTCCAAGGCTAGGAAGGATAAACATAGTCATTTTTAATACATTTTTAAGAATGTGTTTGTGTATTACAAAAATATATTCTTCTTATTATTTTCACACAAAATTGAAACTATAAATACTGCAGGATATCTGCTAAGGTAGTAGTTTTAATAAGGAAACGTTGCTGTGCATACAAAAAGTTTAATTTATATTTTAAAAATATGTGCAAGATATTAATAATAAATATTGTATTTATTGCAATTGTGGCTAGTGCGAAGGCAGCAGCAATCGATAGCTCAACCGAAGTCAAAAAGGATTCAGCCAATACAACGACAATTGTGGGAGCAACAATGTCGAACACAAATTTCACCTCACAGAATATTGACATTGGTGAAAAACCAACTGTCAACCAACCCACCAGCGTAGCACCGGATGAAACTGTAAATATTAAATAAATAATTTAATTCTTTTAAATTTTTATTCATTTTGAATAAATGAATAAATTTCATTTTTTTTAAGACCTCAGATACGGAGACAGCAGCAAGTGTTTTCGATCCATCAGTTTATGCTGGTTTGGTGCCACCGGAAATATTTCAGCAATATCTAAATCAATTTGGTGGTGCCTATGTACCTTATCCAGTTGCAGCTGCTGCTTATCCAGCACCAATGGGCTATGTGCCACCACCACCACCACCTGGCTATCCAAATCCTTATGTTGTGCAAACAGGCTATGAAGGCTTCTTAGTACCCACCACAGATGTTAGTGAAAATACCAATAATAATGATGGTACGGAGAGTGTTCTTTCGTTAGTTCTAAATCCACTCAGTATGTTAGGGAATATATTCTCCACCACTGTGTTTCGTGTCATAGCAGCAGTCTTATCTACAATTGTTATGATCTTCTTCAGCACTGCTATACGTAATTTTATTTGTACTTTTACACCTTTCTGTGATGCGGCCAATGCCCTGAAACGCAGTGGCACTGCTGAAGTGGTGGGACGCATGATTGCTGATGAAATGACACCGGAACGCATACGTCGTACGACGGAATTTGTGCGTAATGCCTTACGTAAATATCAAGCCATGCAGAAATTAAGTGATCAAAAGGAAGATTAGAAAACTCTTGGATAAAAATTGCGTGATACTTGGGCTACCTTGTGTGGGGAATAAGTTGTGCAAATTCGCTAAGTTATTTGCTTATCACTTCACAACATAATATAATAGAGATGTTTAATAATAAAATAAAATTTTTTAAATCTATTAATAGAAAAATTTGGACTTTTTTAATCTGTTCTCTAAAGGTCAAGAGATTAATGAAATCCTGTTGTGAAATTTATGATGGGTTTCTGTTTTTAAAGAGATAATATTGTTTTGATGTTTACTCTCCTCAGGTTGCAATGTTTGAAAGAGCATTTTGAAGTCTAGAAACTATTCTGAATTGCCTAAATATATATTTTTCTTATCATAGCTTGAAAATTATTATTTCGTTAAAGAATTCTATGGATGCATAACAAATTTCACTCACACTACTATATAAAGACTGTATACGACGAAAAGCAAGAATATATATTATTCATGATCAGCGGAGTATCCGGAGAAAAATAGATTCCACCTTTATAATACAATTTACAGATAATATACTGTAAAAACATCCTCCAATGACACAATCCTCGTTTCTCCATTGTTCATGACTTTTAAATAAGACATTTGTACACTAAATGACAAAGATACATATGTATGGCCCACTGTTAAAACATATATAGAATATTTTATAAGTTGATCCAAATATAATAATTTTCATAAAAATAAAAGTCTAAACCAACTATTAAGTCTACAATGTGGTATGTGTATTTGGAAAGTTGAAAAGGTTTGTACCCAGATATTTACTTCGGGGACTTGCAGATTTCAAGATACACAAATACTTTAAAGATTGAATGCGCTTCGATTCAAAAATTAAAAAAAAATAAAGCAATGAATTGATTGATTGTTTTATTTTTTTATTTGTGTACTGTTTACCATAATATTGGTAGAGCTTTAACCTCTCCAGTCCTCCGTGAATAGTGAATATTGATTAATTCTTGTTGGTGTCACACAACTAATAATTTTTGTTTATTACATCCAGTCACGAACCAAAATATTTTAAGTACATAATAAAGTTTTTCAAAAAAACGTCAACATTGTTACTTACTGAAGTCTTTAATTAATACTGAATTAGAAGTAATTTTTATAGTCATAGTAAAATCTAGTACTGCATTTTTACGGTTGTACTGTACATTGTAGTATACAGTAGTAATAGTAATGTCTACTAGGTATAATCTAGTACTGTACATTTTAATAATATTTTTAATAGATAAATAATCTAATTAAATGGTTGTCAGCATGGAAAAGTCACTATTGGCGTGACATTCCAGGTAACCGTCAGACTAAAGAGCTGATTCATACTTACAGTTATGGTAAGATATCCTTCTTTAACAGTACAGAGTTGGAGTTGCTGGTGGGATACTTGACAGGTCACCATGGACTGCGTTAACACCTAAACAAAATGGGTCTGTCCGAAAAGATAGATTGTCGACTCTGCTTAGAAGCAGACGAGACTTTCAGTCACATTCTTTGTGACTACCCAGCCTTGATCTGGACCATGTGTAGATCACTGGGTCGAGAACTACCCTTTTGACATAAAGAGAATGTCTTCTGTTCGGTTAAGGTCTGTTGCAGCACAAAAGATCAACCATGGTCGCAGTGCTCCGGTCCGTAAGGAGCTGGTACCCCGTTTGTTGCTATTCCTATTTCTAGTCTAATTAAAATACATACATAGCAGAAAATTATTCTGATTTAGAGAATTGTAGAGAATTGCAGATAATTTACCCACTTTATCTCTATTAAATTTTTGGTACTTTGTGCTGAATGCATTTTTAAAAGCTTATGTTATTAATATATATTTATATATGATATATATTTTTATTTTTACATTTGTATATATATTAAAAAATATACACGCAAGTCTCGGCATGAAGTTGGAAGTTTCATGCATTGTTAATTACATCGAAAATAATTTCAATTACATGCATTGTATCTATTTTCTCATAGACAGGTTTGTTGGTGGCCTTGACTAAATGCGATCGGTCGTTGTCCGTAGTTTAACCCAACGTAGCCCAACTATAAATATCTAAATCTACCACTATTAACGGTGCCGTAACAAAATCGAAATAAACATTAAAAAGAAATAACTACAAAAAAATGAAATGCGATTGCTGTTACACAACAAACCGTTTTCTGTATTCATTCACCTATTAACATAAAATACAAATCAAGATACATTTATGTGCGTGTTTGGAGATAAACCCACTTGATTGGATACAGTCAATGAAATGAATGAAAGAAAATACTTTCATAAAAAAAATGTATGTTAAAGAGGTTGACATATGAGTTATCAAAATCTACGTCAGAGGGGCAATATGACAATTGCGATCCGCTTTAATATAACACAATCTAAATACAATATCTATTGTAATTACAGATTGTTTTTCCAATGGGTTTGCGTAGGTTACAATAGTAAAATTTTCGGAATTTTTTAAGTACGACCTCTTTAACTCTTAAAACTCTTAAAAATGTATTTAAGTTATGTAAAACTTGAGTTTCATGTCAATAACTAAAACTTCTCGGTTTCATTTATTTAAGCAATTAAGTATTTAAGTTGGATATTGAAATATCTTTTATACGTGAAGACACTGTTGTTTCAATCGAATTTAATTCAATTTTAAACATTTTATTAAAAAATATGTATAATAAAATTAACAGAAGCAAAAGTGCCAGCTAACAACAATAAAAAATGTAGGAGTAAGAAAGTTTCTGTATATTAAACCTGTATACTCGTATACACATTTCCAATCATGAAGAAGCCGATCTCTATCTGTCACACAGCGTGTGAATCTGAAGACTTAGTAAGGAAATTTCTGTATATAAAACCTGTATATTCGTACATACACATTTCCAATAATGAAGAAGAAGATCTTGACACATGCTATACATATATCTTCAGAATGTTTCAGAGTTATACGCTTTTAAATTTTCTTATAATGAATGTGACTCTATATCGAAACTCTATTACGTATATCTCTAAAACGACTTCCATATATTAGTATGACAACGTATTGATATTAACATTAACATTATTTCAAAGATAGCCGGACTACTCTTAGCTGGTAATGACTTTGTTTTATTGATACATACATATTTTCAAGTTCTATTCCAAGACAATATAGTTTGCATATAAACGATATTATTAAATTATCATAAAAACTTTCATACGATAATGAAATTTATAGTTTCAGAAAGTAAAAACCATGTCTATTAAATGAAAGTAAGACAATATGGTGTATTCAGATGGAACTAGAGAATTCTAATCTTGACAATAAAACACTGCAAAAAAAATATTTTGTATATAGTATATCGCTACAAATTACAGGATCCTCGGGGAGGTATGCAGATCTGAGGTCAGTTATTGTTTAGTCTGATAAAGTGATAAACAAAAATCCAATCAAGGTGTAGACAGGGGTTATGAAGAAACCTCGCTGTTAATAAAGAGTAAAAGTGCAAAAGTGCAATGACTCAACTAGCCTTAGCATAATAATAATTATTATAATGATTATTATGATTTAATATGGTTGATATGGGATCTTTTCCATCCAGTACTCTCAAAATGATAGATGTAGTTGTTTTCAAAAGATTGCTTTTTAATTATCTATATAGGTTTTTTTTTTTACTCCAATTTAAAATAAACAACTTATTCAACTATAGTAATATTTAATTACAACGACTGGTCTAGACTTAAGTATGGATGCCATATAAATACACAGTTCTGCTATAAGGGAATTCTATAAAATTTGAATTTATATTAAATAGGATATTTGACCTTTAATGTGGCTTTTTTAATCATAAGTTAATATATTCCTGTAGCTGCATACATATATACTATTGAAGTTAACAGTTTTCTTCACAGATTGAAGTTTACAGACGTTAAAAACCTATAAGTAAATATACTTACTATACATACAATATGTACATACATTTCTTTATGCTTCTATGAATAATCGTTGGTTTTGATTGCTTTGAGACGAAATCCAACAATAATCTTAAAAATTTAAAAGACACTGAAAACAAATACTCAAAATCGTTGAAGCCGAAAAACTCTTCTAAACATTTTTATTCCATGAATAAAACAGCTAAAGAGCGGATTTTCCAAAAACCCGGCATGTGTTATGTAGAAACCAAAATACTTAAAAAACAAACTTTCGTGTTTAGTTTTATATCTGATTCAAGCTAAAACTATGAATAATACTTAAAACAAAATAAATATATATTCGGAAATAAATACAGAAATAAAACCTAAAAGTTTGACAAAATTAATTTATACATATGTACATATGTATGTACATATGTACACGAATACGAATATAAAAATAAATACCAAACAAGAGTATCTACAATTTCAAAATAAACATCGTATCTGAATTAGTAGTAAACAAATGTATCTACACAAGAGCTTTAGTAATTATTTAAGAATTGATAAACTAAAACTCTTGTAGAGCAAACGAAATAAACTGCCAGTACTTTTATTCCACAAATACTCTAGCATTTTGCAGTTTGTGATCACAGCCTGATTCATAGGCGTTGTGCTGATAAGTGTTGCCATGTCGCATAAAATGCAAACAAAATTGCAAGTCAAGTAGCTATGGTTTACTTAGATAAGATATGAAGATATTGTTCACAAGAGATTGCACTGATTTTTATCTGATAAGAGTTATAAAAAAAGAAAGTTGAAACTGTTAGTATGAATATAAATCATTTTATTATTACAATTACCGTTCGTCCCATTTAATCTTTCTTTGATTTGAAATGCATATCGAATGTTAAAAATTGTTATTTTTAAGTATTCACCATGTAATTTATAAACCTAAACATATTGAGGTATAGATTTTAGAATTGTAAACATTTTGCATTAACTATACAAACAACTATTAAACACCATCTAAGATCGGTAATAAAATCGCGACTTCTAAGATACTATAATCGTGTCTGCAATGCCATGTGCTTTTATCTACTATCTGTATCTAATAGATTAATTCACTCACTTTAAACTTAGAAAAAGACATCCAGTGAATCTGTTACATTTATCGTAAAATTTTCAAAATTTAACTGATCCAAAAATTTTTCAGGCTGATTATTTATCATTTTGTATATTTTGCAATTTCTCATAAGTTGGCAACTCTTGTTGTACACTAAGAAATAATTAACAACAATTTGAACTAAAAAAAACTATCATAATTTGCTTGAGCTTACAGTGTGGCAATTGGCAGCGCTATCATATTTGCTTGTGAGCTTTTTCAATGTTTATTATGTTTGAATAAATGTTATCATATATACATATATTTTTTTTTTTGCACTGTCATTCTTGATTAAAATATTATTTTTGTATTATTTGTTAGCAAATGTTTTTTCAGTGCAATGTTCTTTCTGCCGGGTGTTTATTTATATTTTCCATGCATACTTACATATTTTTTTTTTTTTTTTTTTTCAATTCATACGTTATTTATTGAATCTTTCAATTTGGAAACTAACAATAAGTGATCAAATCTTAAAACTAAATTTATTTTTTTTTTCCTAAGCCATTGATTTGGAAAAAATTATTAAGACATTAATTTATTTAATAAAATAAAATTGAAAATTAATATTAAAATTAAAATTGAGATTAAAATTAATTCAAGAAATCACATTCAGTTCAATTAAAGAAAATTTATAATATTTTAAATGAAATAAAAATTTTGAAGGTTAACAGATGTTAATGGTGTCCTTCTTTTTTAGACGTCTGTGGCCTTTGTTCAGTAGCAGCATGTAAGCTAATTGGTTAGGATGGTCTTACATATTATACTTACATATTAAAATATGTATGTACAAATGTGTGTATAACAAAACAGATAACTCGTATTAGGTTTTCAATTGAAATATCAAATACAAGTGTTTATAAATAATAGATTATAATATTCCTTAGAAACAAATTTTATAAAAAATGAAGTACATATTTATCACAAAAAATATTTTTGTTAAGAAATGTGTTTATATGCACATATATATATGTATGTATGTATGTATATGATTGAAAAGATAATTTAGTCTTACAAAATTCATATAAAATTAAATTAAAATCAATATCAAATAAATGTATGTACCATAAACCCCATAAAAGCCAATTCACTTTTCTTTGCCTAACGCAGTTTGCAGCATTTTTAATAATGTTTTTTTGTTCCTTCCTATAATTATTTTAATAGCGGTTTACATAGGAAAAGGACATTAAGCGGTACAAGAGCAGTAATAATTAGAGTTGTAAATGAAATAAAGTAATAAAAGTAAATTGTTAATTGCTTCCTTACAGTTACTAGCATTTCAATAAATTGAGTAGAAAGCGACTTTTTAGAGCAATTAAACCGTTTATTTGACAAAGTCGTGTCTGACCACAATAAACAAGACAACTTTTTTTCTAAATTACTCTCGTTGCATTCGCAAAGTTATTTCTAAAAGCTGTCCCCAAATGCACTGTTGCCAACAATACTCACGCTCACTCACTCTTCCACACTCTTTTACAAAATTGCCGGTATATTTTCGATGTACATACATACATACATACATATATTTTGTATGTTTAAAGGAATTTGTATGAGGGTGTATAGCTCCCATATTAAACAAAAATATATCAATAGTTTGTAAATAGTTTTTATATTTAACTTAATCTCATAAAGTCTATAAAAAACTTATGAAGCTTTGTAATTCATAATATCAGCAAAAAAAATTCATTGTATTTGTAAAATTATTGTTTCATAGCAAGTGAAAGGTTAAACAAATTTTGTAATAGCTTAAGCCCCTTTTAGTATGCATGTGAACATACACACACATATCAACCGCTACATTTCACTTTTTGGATGGCATTCGTATAGGAAACTATAATTGAAGGTAACGTACTGTTCATTGTTGTTGCTATGTTAAAACTTCGCCTATAAGGGATTCACTTCAAATAGCCAAACTCACATTTAAAGCTTATATATAGAATATTTTAAGATTTGTATTGAAATTAGCATTAGAAAACTATATATCAATGATCATTGATTTTAATAAATTAATTACCTTTTAAAATAATTTGCCTTTTGTTTAATAAACAAAATATATTACCAATTCCGACTAGGTATTTGCCGCGCACAACAGCAACAACCAACTAGTTTTTAGAATAATTAAAAAATGCATTATATATGTATCTAATAGTAAAATAATTGTATAAATATTTTTTTAATTACATACATACATATGTATATCAGAAGCATTTGGGTGCCACATTAGGCTTTAATAACACACGCTAAAAACTTCAAGCTTTTTTACAAGAATGACTTAAATCTTATTGGAACATTTTGATCAAAAACATAGAAATTCTAACATTTGCTATTGTGTTGTTTTTTTAGGATTTTAAAGCAAGGCATTTACACTGCATCAATGTTCAAAGGAGTATTATATGTAGTACGAAGATTACGAAAACTGCAAGATATACTTAAATATGTCTATAAATTTTAAAATATTATTAATACTCTTAAGTACGAAAGTATAGTACAAGTATAGGAAAGATTAGTTATACTAAGCTAGAATTTTTAATGAGTTTTTAATTTTATATGTTTGTACTTGTACTTGCAACTACACAGCAAAAAATTTTAGTTGTTTATGAAAATATTTATGTGCATATATATGTATGTGTATATGGTAATAGAAAGGTGATAGTTTTGTTTTCAGAATGCTGAAAACTGTTCAGACTGCTTGTTTTTCCATATCCCTCAATAAAAAGTTTTTATATAACAATTTATTTAAGTTAAAACTGTATTCTAACTTACTGAATGTACAACTGCTTTAAATACATATGTATGTATGTATGTAGATAAAATTATCTTTTGAAATGCTTTTTTTATTTTTACTTATAAATTTAAAAATTTTATTCTCATTATTTTTCATAACTTGCAGATATTATTTATTAAAATATGTACAGATATATATGCATGTAAATTTGAGTACATATTTTTCATTAACATACATATGTATGTATTAACTAAAAATGTCTAAACAAAAATATTAAATACATAAAAGTCAAAAATGCCAACAATATTAAACCTAAAAAGTATGTTTGGCAATGATTCAACATAGCCGGCCGGAATACGAAAATGAATAGCAGAGAAAAAATAAAATAATTGTTGGGAGAAGAGAGCAGCAGTGAATAATGCTGAATTCATAAGTTGGTTGTAAGTTGGTTACAATAAAAACTCGTTTTTAAGTAATTCAGATAAATAAAATTATTAATTTATATAGTTTTTACAGTTTTGTAAATGCAGAAAGTCTTTTAATTTTTACACAAACTTATATTTAAGTTTCCATATTTTTCAATGTTTGACTGATCTTTTGTGCACTATTTCTTCTCTCATTCACAATTCCAATGAGAAATGAAATGGAGAAAAATCCAATTCACACTATTTTTTGCTCTTTAATGTTCAATTGTTTTACCGCTTTTTATCTCTTACTCATTGCAAACAATGTGTTGGTGAGAATATGGTTGTGCTACTCACACCAATAAAATGCAAAAATTTGCTATAAATGCAGCGTGATGCTCTAGCTAATTTTATTATAAGTTTATTTGCGAAGTAAGTTGGTTGGGTTTGTTAAAACTTTTATTAATATTAGCAATATTTTGTTGAATTGTGCGGATAAATAAGTTGTAAAAAGTAAAAAAGAAAAAAAACTGTTTGTGTTTAATTCAAATTTTGTGACAAACAAGAAAAATTGATTTTTATTGCCATAAATAAAAATGCTTGTGTGCTTAAAGTTCCTTGCGTTTTTGCATCCATTTTGATTTTTGTTGCTGCCAACTTTCTTAGTAAAATTTTTTAAAAATTAAATTATTATTTAATGGCAACTTTCATATTGTATAAAATTGAAAAGTTAAAATTAAATTAAATTTAAAATAGTGCACATGGAAAAAAAGAAATAAGTTTCAAAATTTAATTAAAAATAAAAAAAATAAAAAGATTAATATTTTTCCGAACAGTCGTGTATTAAAATAAAGCATTTATTATAATCTGTGTGATTTACCCGCTTAGATATAATTTTATCGTAAAATAGTTTTATTTGCACGGTTTTTATTTTAAACTTTTCTTTATCGTTGCAGTTAACCTATAACAATAAAAAAAATGGATTTCTACTACTTGCCCGGTTCTGCACCATGCCGTTCAGTTCTAATGACTGCTAAAGCTCTTGGAATTGAACTGAACAAGAAATTGTTGAACTTGCAAGCCGGTGAACATCTTAAACCTGAGTTCATCAAATTGAATCCACAACACACCATTCCAACCTTGGTTGATAACGGTTTCTCCGTTTGGGAATCACGCGCTATTTGCATCTATTTGGTTGAGAAGTACGGAAAGACTGATTCCTTGTACCCAAAATGCCCTAAGAAGCGCGCCGTTATCAATCAACGTTTGTACTTCGATATGGGTACTTTGTACAAGAGCTTCGCTGAATATTATTATCCACAAATATTCGCTAAAGCTCCAGCTGATCCTGAGAAGCTTAAACAAATTGAGACTGCCTTTGATTTCTTGAATACATTCTTGGAGGGGCAAGAGTACGCTGCTGGCGATAGTCTCACCGTGGCTGATCTTTCCTTATTGGCCAGTGTATCAACATTCGATGTAGCTGGTTTTGACTTCAGCAAATATGCCAATGTTGCTAAGTGGTACAACAATGCTAAGAGCGTTGCACCTGGCTGGGATGAAAACTGGGCTGGTTGTGAAGAATTCAAGAAGTATTTTAACTAATTTTGTTAGTTTTTTGATATTATAGAAAGTAAAATAGATACGGACGACGTTCGTTTATTCCCATTTTCCATCGATCATAAAAAAGATAATTATTTTAGTTATGTTTTAAGTGTTGAACACTGAAAAATTTGTTAATTCCAACTTTTGTAGGAATTTAAGTACATAAAGTATTTATATTTCAATTAAAAATACATAAAAATTGTTAAGTATGCAACAACATCAACAAAAAGAATATACATACTAAGATATTACTAAGAGATATTTAATCAACGATATTTATACAATAAATAAATGCTAAAAATTTTAAGAAGTTGTTTTGTTTATGAAAATTTATGGAGTATTTATAGTAAGTTTTAACTATTTATGCTGGTTCTCTCCATTAAAACCAAAAATTTATTAAAACTTGTGTTTAGAAAAGTCAGTGACCGTATGTATATAATTTTATATGATATTATATATGTAGTGCAGTTAAAACTGTTAGAAGATATTGCGTATATATACGTATGTACTGTTCTATAAAAACAAAGAGAGGCAGATACGTAATGAGAATGTGACCTTGACCAAGAGAAATATGAAAATAGTTTTATAAAAGTAAACAATGACTTGAAAAATTCCCTTTCAAAATTTCTATTATATATGTATAGTTTACTATGTATATATGGCGAGATATATATACTTATATATACAAAAATATTTGTTTTAGAATCTGGAGAATTATGTTCGGAAAATTTAAAAACTTTCTCCTATTCAAATAATATAAAATATTGTTAGTCGATTAATTGAAGAACATAGAGAGGTTCATCAAACATTGTGAGAGCATGAAGCATAAAGATATAATAAGAAGTGCGTTAAAAATCGTTTCGGGTTATCAAAAATTTTGGCCTGATTGAATCTATTTTATTATAAGTGAACTGAACATTTTTTTTATTAATTTTCTATGACTTCTTGTGTCGTAGTGCGGACATTATGCTCTATTATTTGTTGCTGAAAATTCAACTTGAAGAGAAGAAAATAATATTCGAGGTTTTGCAGTCTTAATTCAAGACACAAAACTGACTTACGTATGAATTATGTCAGCAAAGTTGATTACAGCCTAACTTATATTAATATTGAGATCTAAGTTGAGCTCTAAAACAAAAACAAGTAAAATGAATTTTTGATATTGAATGGGATTGAGTTTGTTTTGGTATTTTAAATAGTGTTTTAAACTAGATTTATTACAAAGAATGTCCATATATGTGATAAGTAAAATATATACACTCAAATTCTGTTTTCTTAAGGTTAATTGTTACACTCTTAAACACTAATCTTTATTTAAATATAATTATGTGAATAACTTTTGAAACTTTCATTCTTCATTTGGGAAATATTTTTTAATGACGCATAGAGAAACGAACTAGTTCCGGTGCGTCACATAAATTTAGACCAACTGCGGTGTGCACTAACCTTGCAGATACTTGTTTTCTGCTGAGTGATTCCAATCAACTTTTCTGTTTCCATTGCCATTAATCTATGTGTGTATTATCCAACAAATGTATTTCACATATGTTCATTAAAAAATTTATTGCCTTTCTAGGTTTTTGACTAATATATACTCGGTCCACCTGCACTGATTCAGATTAGTTTCACAAACGTGGTAACCGTTAGTTAGCATTTTTATTGCCTTTTACATATACTATATACTAGCTTGAGTACACCCCTTATTAGCATTGAATTTAAACTGCAAAATTTTATTTAAAAAGGCAGAAGACTGTGAATAAAACTATAACTTAAGTAATAAATTATTTATTCATACAAATGTAGTGCAAATCATGTTCATTTTATTAAGGAAGTGTCTACTTCATTTCTTTTTTTTATTTTGTTTTTTAAGTTTTATTTTTTATTCAATCAACTATCCTAGATAGATTTGTTTTGGTATTACTAAAAATTTAATATTATTATAATTTAATTACATTTATTTTTAAGTAATTAGATTATATTGTCTATTTGAATATATTGGAATGGAGTTTAAGTCAGTTTTAAAGGAGATCAGCTACTTCAGGTTTCAAGTAGATTTTATATTTTTTTATATAAAAAGTCTATATAGACTTCATGGTAGGATTTTGTTAAATGAGCAACAACGATACTGAATAAAACAATATTATGTGTCATATATGAGTTTTCTATAATTAATCTTTGAGTTTCGATTATTTGAAGTGATGGTGATTTGAATAGCAACAGCACAAAAGTTAAAATATTTTAAAACTGAAACTGTATAGTTATTGGAAATAAAATCTTTAATTAAAGATTAGTTGAATGTAACAAGGTGGTTTTAAGTATAGAACACATTCAACGTTCTCGTTCTTCTTTTATTGGCAAAACAGTAGTGTTTTTTCTCATAACAACAATGCAATAAAAAATTAAATAGAGATAGTTTAGTTCAATCAGTCGAATTTATTATGATAGTATAATCTATTATTTTTTTTAAAGGAATACCAACAGTAATTATGATTCCTTCATATTAGTGCATGCCAGAGTTTACCTAAATTCACATGCTTTCCCACATTCCAGAAAGCATCCACAGTATGTTTCTCTTGAAACTCGGCTAAACTTACTGCTCTGTTGGTTCCCTCGGTTTGGAAATGACTAACAAAGTTTTTATAATTTAATGAATCCATTTGGTTTTTAATTTTCAATTATATATCTTTAATTTACGATGATCTAAATATTCTTTCAAAATTAAAATAGTTAAAAGACTAATATTAAAAAAGAAAAACAGTTGAATACAACTCATCTCATCTAAAAATAGAAATATTTTAGTGTTGAATTCAAACTAAAATGAAGAAAGATAGTATAAATTCTAAAACTTTTATTTTTAAATATTTATTAACACAATAATAAAATTATTTGCTGAAATCACTTATCATACATATTGACAAAAAAAAAAAAACAAAACATTCTTAGTAAATTTGTTTTTGTATACTTCCATAAAAATAATTTAAAGTTTAAACAAATATATGCGAATTGATAAAAGGAAACTTCTAGAAGAATATTAAGCGATCACAGCAAACATTACGCTGATAGAGTTGCCAACCCTTAAATATATGCTACAATACTGCAAGTAAGATAAGATAATATAGGAAAACAAAACAAAACAAATGTTAAGTATGCTATTAAAGATAAAATTATTTTATTTATTAATTAGACATTATTTACTTCATATGAAGGTTACCTCCAATACTAGTTTCAAGGGTTCGTAGTGAATTATTTCGCAATTAAGTTAAGTTGGTTGCTTTGATAGGTAGAGATGTATTTAAAATATACTTTTTTTTATAACATATAAAAACCTATGAATGGATCAAAAATATATGTAGAATTTTTGTTTTATTAGGCGGGTATGCAACTATTCCAAAGTACGTATTTACAAATTTATATTGCAAGAAATTTACATTTAATTTATATTGAAATTTATATTGATTTATTACAAATGTTAACTACACTGTACGATTTTAGGTTATTTTTCAATATTTGGGTATTAAATCCAATAATTAATGTTTTTCCTTCAAAACGTTTTATAAGAAATTTTTATTTTAAGCGATACGAATTTCGTATCTCTAGTATACTAATTCCGAATCAATAGATAAACATTTTTGTTTTAATCATTCCTGAAATTCCCCTCCTTTCTTATGATTTAGTCTATAAGCTAATCTTGTTTAGTCATCTTTTTATTCTCAGCTTAAGTTGGAGTTGACGAACAATGCTTGCTAACAGCATGGGATGTTAGTATATTCACACTTCCCATAGATTATTGAGTTTAAAACTTGTCACAATACAGATTTTTATACAAACTTGAATACGAATTCAATCTATCAAATACATATTTTTAATGTAATAAGCATATATATTATAATATGAATTATATATACGTAAAGTAATAACTAGTGGATTAAGTTCTTCATTTTATTGAAACTTGGTAACACTGTTTTTAGAATATTTGATTATTAAAAAAAATCCAAACAACTACAAAGCGTGGCCACTGTTAGCGCTGACGTGTTTGTTTGTGGGCTTGTACATGCTTTGGATGTTTGAGTAAACTTTTTATTTTTGTTGGTTTTTGCACTGTCATCGTGATTATAAAATTATCTGTTTTGTTTTTATTGTTTTTAGTTCACAACTGCTCTACAAAGCACATAAAAAACTATGTTTTTAAAGTGAGCGAAGCTGATGGGGGTGGTGGCTATACACACATACATATGTATGGATGTGTACACGTACACTCTTAGCTGACATTAAGTAAGGAGAGTTCTTCGTATTTTAATATTAAATAATTTGCTGATATGCGAATAAAGCTACTGCAATTACAGACCCAAGTGGTTTGTATCAATGGTAGAAGTGCTGAAAGTGCTTATCAGTTTACAAATTCTTTAAGAAAATTATTAAAAAAAAATTTTTTAAAAACTAATAGTCACTGTATCGTTAATTAAGCTGAAAACAAAATTTCATTTCAATTTATTATGAAATACCTTGGGTGCCTTACGGTGTTGACTATTCACTATACTATTTATTGCCTATACCTATGTATATATTAAGTATATAGATAGAATAATGATAATCGTCCAAATAATAGTTTAGACTCCTTTTTTTTATGTTGCAGAAGGCGGATAGCCAAAGTTTCAATAGAGACATGGATGTAGATCTCAACTCTTTATCCCTTTATATGAGCCTGAAATCTATTAAAGCTGCTTTTAAAATAATGAAGAAATATCCTATGTGATTTATACGTAAATATTCAATACATGAGTCCTATTGTTGTAATCGAAAGGATGAGAGAAGAACAGCTATACATAAACCAGAAAGTACGTTAGTTACTGACGCAGAATTAGTTAGATAATAGAATGAAACTGGTGAATTGATTAGGAAAAGGGATTATTCTAAACACTTTCAACATGGTCTCAGAAAGTACAATTGAACAGTAAATTGAATTAGTAATATAGCTGACTGCAGCTTTTCTAGAAATAAGGAAATGTTTTGTAGAAGATGAAGATCGAGTAGATCTACGTAGATGCAAATATGAGGGGCAAATTAAAGATTGGGAAACTAGGAATAGATTTAACAGAATAAATATGGTGGGCGATTGGATATGACCCTAGGCAAGTATGAATAGGTGATCGTCCATGCGATTGATTTTCTTTGTAAAATAGACCGCGTGATTAGAGTAACGTTTACCACAATACTCATATATGTATGTACTCATATATGTCATATGTTTTTTTGATAAAATCATACAATAAGAAAAATTTTATTGTTTAACACTTATTAACAAAAATTATATTTTTCTACTGAGTACTTGTGAAGATATAATCAACACAAAATGAAATCAAGAAAATTGTTCTTATTATATAGGAAGTTTTGTTGACATTAGTATTTTCCTACGTCATCATAATGACCCACAAGTGAATGGCACAAGTGAATTCCAATGATGGACAATATATAAAATAATCAAAACTAAGTATACTGTCCTTCGTTTTCTAAGGGAATTATTAGTTCCTCTTTTATTTCTACTTCTACTTATCTTTATCTATAATTATTATTTTTGTATAGAAATGTTGTGGATAGTGGTAGTAATAATAGTAATTATATATTAAGTAATTGGTCTATACACATTCAGTTGCTTTTTAAGGCATTCAAATGAAAGAAAATTACTTTCTTAAGAAGGTTGGGCTCACAACAAATTTATTTATTAATTTTATTATTTTCGCTTTGATTATAGTGTCCGTATTCTCTGTGTTAGTTATTAAAATACTTGATGGAATAGGTAGTCTTAAGTTTTTCCCATTCTCTTAGAGAAAACATATTTATTTTCTATTTGCTCTGCGAGACATTAAAGCAGTGTATGTGGATATTGATCTGGCATGTGTTAGCTGCATATAAATTTTTAATTAAAATTCAATTAAAAGCTTGAAATAATAATTATTAAGTTAGTGTTCTTAAAGTATTAAAATTTAATTAAATAAATACTTGAATAAACACTTGATAGATATATGCATACCTACATGTATATAATATTCGTACATATTGCTTATAAAGAAATTGTTTATACTTTTATTGTGAGTGGAGAGTACTTTACTATAAGATTCATATGATATTATATAATGCATATGTAACTAAATATAACGTATTTTGTTATTGTTATATATATTTAACTTAATAAATACAATAGCAAGTGTGGAAGCTTAATATATTATTATCTATGCTATTAAAAGCTTCTGTAACTTAGCGGTTCAATGGAACAGTATTGTTATTAACAGCGCGATTGACAATGTAACAAATGCCAGCCAATAATTTTGAAATAAAACTGCAAGCTAATTTTCTATAAGCGCGAATTTAAACATTTTTAAATATTTAAGAAAACATTTTGTTTTGTATTTGTTGTTTTATTTATAATACGTGACTTGTTTCAACTTTTTACAAATACATTTTTAAGTTGTCACTATGCAGTTTCTACTTCAAAATTCTTTTCACCGGTTTTCTAAGACCGTTAAGAAGTACACAATACCAATTCTGTATTTGTATTCTATATATGGATATGTAAGCAAAAAGAGTTGATGTTGTTGTATGTAATTGTAGCAATATTACAGGTTTTATGTATATTTAAAGCTTACTAAATATTTTATTTTATTATAAACAAATATTCTATAAATGCTTTTATTATTTTTTTATACATTGCAATTCTTTAAATTGCTTAATAAGGCAATGCACCCAGTTCGTTCTAATAACAGCGGCTGAATTCTAACAAGAATACTTAAAAGCCAAGAAACTTGTTGTACATAAGTAGGTGCTGCTTTACCTGCTTTACCTATAATGCCGTAAGAAGCAAAAACATAGAAAATTTTCTATGTTTTTTGTAAAAAGGCTTGATTTTTATTTTAACAGAACTGTTAACTTGATCAGTTTAAATGTAAACATTTTTACAAACAAGTATATATGTATGTTTGTAAATATATGTATATTTTAATTTGTAATAGCTAAACCAGATTTAAAATGATTTTACTTTTATGAAATACTAAACGAAACGCCGGCCGGATATTGGAAACAAATAATATAAAAAAAAATAAACAAATAAATGATCATAAAAAATCATACACTTATGGCATTTTTATTAGTAAAATATTTTTAATTTTTCCGTACATAAAGTTTTAGTTATAATAATCAAAAGATGATAAAAGTTAAGAAAGGTGACTGAAACTGAAGCAAACAAATTATGAAAGGAATTTGGAGAACTGATTGCAATAGATGTTCTTAAGTTTGCACTTCTTTTAAATTTAACTGAACTGAGAATTATACTTGAAACTTTATTGTAACAATTTTTGCATTATATATATAGGTATGTATAAAAAAGACACAAATAGAAACGTTTTAAATTACTTGGTTTTTATTTAACCATTGTTTTATTAATATATTTCATAACATTAGTATATTTGTATAATAGTTATTATGTACATAACAAATAACACGAACTTTGAAAGTCATTATTTTATCGAAGTTTAAAATACATTGAAAACATAGAAGTAAGAATTATTTCTATGTTTTCGCTTGCATTTTGTATTCACCAAAAATAATAAATGAATTATTTCTGTATTCACTTAACAATTCTTATCGAATAATTCGAGTGTGGCACTCAGTTTTTCTTTTTGCTTAGTCATCCACATCTCACTGGAGAAGTTCTACGGAAGAATTGATATAGCGAACTGAACTTCTAATCTCTTTTTAATAAACTCAAAAAATTTGTATAAAAATTCGTGGGCCACGAATAAAATTTTCATTATTAGTTTACCTTTGAAGTAAGTAGTTTGGAAATAAAAAGTTTAATACAGATTATTTATTGGAATTCGAAATTAATTATATTCTGTGCTATTCTGAATTTAAATTTGTGATAAGAACTTCGTTAAATCTAAAAAAAGTTTAAGGATCAAAATGGATCCTTGATATTAATTTATATTTGCTTAAATTATTATTCGATTTTAGAAAATAAAATTTCAAGAAAGGATAAAAGTAATTCCAATCATCGAGAACTATAAGAATTGTTCTAGAAACTAAGTTCATTGTATTAACAATAAAACAATTTATGTGTTCTGATATTACAAGTGTTTTAACAGCGGTTTTTTTGAGAAATTATTTCTTATTCATTGTGTATTCATTGTGTATTTTAAGTGCATTTTACAAGCACTTTATTTTCGATTAATTTTGATTATTTATTTTATTGCTTCGTTTAGACTTTTATATATATTTACATAAATAAATACGAGTAACTGAATTGAAAGCTGTAATTAAAACAGAAATATATACATAAACATAATATTATACATATATAAAGTAATGGGGAAAAAATAATTTTTTATTTTAAAATAACATTAAACTACTAATTATAAACTTTTCCTCATTACAGTTAAGTTCAAAAATCAATCAAAAATGGATTTCTATTATGTACCCGCTTCAGCACCATGCCGTTCAGTTCTAATGACTGCTAAAGCTCTTGGAATTGAGTTAAATAAGAAAACTTTGGACTTGCAAGCTGGTGACCAACTTAAGCCTGAGTTCATTAAAATAAATCCTCAACACACCATCCCAACGTTAGTTGATAATGGATTTTCCATTTGGGAGTCACGCGCAATTTGCGTTTACCTAGTTGAGAAGTATGGAAAAAGTGATTCTTTATACCCCACATGTCCTAAAAAGCGTGCCGTTATCAATCAACGTTTGTACTTCGATATGGGTACTTTGTACAAAAGCTTTGCTGATTATTATTATCCACAAATAATGGCCAAAACTCCGGCTGACCCAGAAAAGTTTAAGCAAATAGAGACTGCATTTGGCTTTTTGAATACATTTTTGGAGGGTCAACAGTATGTTGTAGGTGACAGTCTTACTGTGGCGGATCTTGCTTTATTGGCTACTGTTTCAACATTCGATATAGCTCGTTTTGATATTAGCAAATATGCCAATGTTGCTAAGTGGTACAATAATGCTAAGAGCGTTGCTCCTGGTTGGGATGAGAACTGGGCTAGTTGTCAAGAATTTAAGAAGTATTTTGATGGATTACCTTAAGTTTAATAGTTATTAAAAGTAAATAAATGTAAGAAATTTGCATTTTTATAATTTTTAATAACATTTTTGTTGTTATTTTGTTAAATAATATTAAATTATTAAAGTAATAAAAAGGATTTTATTACATGAATTAAATTATTTTTGATTTTATACAACAAAACTACTGAATGCTGAATTATTAAGGAGTATTAAATAATAAAAAACATAATAATATTACATGTTTCTAATACAAGAACATTAAAGAAGACATATTGAATTGGAATTACTTGCTAACAGTTTAAGATGTACTATATAAGCTGTGCACCGCAAAAACATAGCACGGTTATTCATATAATTTCTATGACCTTGATAATGAGGATGAAATACGCTCTTCAGAGCTACAACTACAACAAAAGTCATACTGGGGTAGACCAAGTAGGTCTTCTTAGTTTGCAGAAACCTGTCAGCACCAATATCACAGTATTGAGCAGATTCCGTTTGAGTTAAAGTAGCTGACTAGTATATTTACGGTCAAGTTGGGATCCAGTGGATCTTTAGAACTGACAAAACCTTTCATTTGTCCAGGTTGTTTTAGCTACACTTAAATATTTTTGTTTAATTGTCAACATAACTGTTACAAGAGGCATACCAATACAGAAGGAATAATTGTCAGAAAGCAGAGTACCTGTCTTGGCAAGCCTTTTGCCCTGATTTTGCCCGAAATGTCGTTGTGTTTAGGTAGGTACCATCTGAGGTGGACACTCACAAGCCCGGCCTTCTTCAACTTCTAAGGATATAGTTGTAGTGCTTATTGGAGATTTAATAGGAGTATGTCAGTCCGAGCAGATTACGATATTTAGATAGAGAATTTCATTGCATACGAAACTTCAAGCTCTCAAATTGAAGAGTTTAAAAAAATTTATTTCTGAATAAAGTTTATATTGATTAGTAGAGTATAAAAATCATAAGGTCAACTATATATGTGTTCGTATGAACTATAAAATGTTATAGTGCAATATGTACGCAAAAAGAGAGCGAACGATACACTTAGATGAGCTTACGACTAATTGGAATAAGAACCATTATTAAGGGGATGTTTTCAAAAATTGAGTCTTCATATTTCTATTTTATGGAAAATAACTTCATAGAAATCAATAAGTTTATTTTATTTTTAACCAACCAATTCATGTCACTCCACTACAATACAAGCAAAAATGTTCTATTAACATTATCGACTTATAAATAATTTGTTCAAATTATCAGTTTGCTTTTATCTCCTAAAATACCAAACCACGCTGTCTAATTGAGTCATTAGTTTGTATTTGACTAAGACAAATTATCGACCGAGTTATTGTAATAAAAATGTTATCTATATATCACACATTAGTATATTGGTATATTGGGTGCATGGCGGAATTAGTGCACTGTCATGAATAATGATTTGTAAAAAAATCATCCTCTTGTGACGCAAATATTTGTTGTAAGAAATATTTGGTTTTTTAATAAGTAAAAATCTTCTTTATTCAATTTAACATAGCACTAGTTGTTCTGTTTTTTGATGCGAAAGTTCATCACGAGAATTACTGGCCATGTAATAGTAAAATCAAGGCCCATTAAAATAAAATAATGAGGCTCTGACTTTGTTACAAGATACTTGCGTGGAAGTGTGAATAAAGTCACAGAGAATTAGATGGGCTAGCCATGTAGCACAACAGTTAACTCAGTGGCTTAAAAACTGTGTTTCAAAGAATCAACGATCTGAAGCGTTCACGAACCAGTTAGCTTAGATTAATTTATGTCAATGTTCCAGTCGGCCAATCGACCAACTTACTTAGACAATACAGGCAGAGAAATCTATATTCCTGCTTCGGGTTCATTTCGATACCGCTGCTTGACACACAATACTTTAACTGCTTTACTTACTTATGTTACTATTCTTACTAGTGGTCAGATTATGTGGTTTCAATAATTAGAAAACGATTGCGAGAAATTTTAAGAACTGGAAGAATACTGTAATAAAGAAAAGAGGTGTACATTAGTTGTAGTGCCAATAATTGCCCTAGAAAAACGTTATAATACCTAGTTTCAAAAAACAAAAAAAAAGTAATTGGTTTGGTGTGAGCATTAATAAGCAAATTATTTCAAAATTGAAAGCCATTCCTCATTTCTAACTCAGTCATTAGAATTTAATGAGAAATACTAATACCTTATCTGGGTTAACTGGGAACTATTTTAAAGTTCTTATAAGGTACAGGATATTTTTACACCTCTATGAGAGAGTTTGTTATGTTTGCGTCAGAAATTTCTCCACTTCTAGCTAGTACCGGTCAGCTACAAAAAATATGTTTTACTGTTTCTTTTTCCTCCTCATCTTTACAGCTTTACAACAATATTCATTGAAGGGTGCTCTGAATCTGAGAGCATGTTTAACAAATAGTCAGTTACCAGTTATAAAAGCCACCATATTAAAGATATCGTATCTTGGGCTGAGTAAGTCTCTTGATCTTTATAAGATGAATTCAAACTAATTCATTAAAGTTTTGCTGATTGATTAGGAAGTAAGCGTCTTACAGGTCTCTCGTATTTTATTTAATTACAATACAATACTTAGAGTATGTCTATGTCATAATTGGAATTATATAAATTGTATACTCCTATAAGCAATCGATTCCTTACAGTTTAAAGAATATGTTTTTTGTAGTTGAGTCCCCCCCAACATGTTCGTTACAAGATGTCATTCATAAAAACTCAGTACAAATAGTATTTCAATTAAAATTATATCAAATATAATTTAGCTGCGAAAAAAATACTTATCGATTTTTGTTATTGTATTAATGTTTTCCACATCAAAAAAAAATACTCTCCATGGACTGAAAGTACTTTAAATACCGAACAAACTCACGAACCCAATTCAGTACTACATTGAATTCTTTGCAGTCAACATCGAGTGGTGTGGAATCTCCGAATTAAAAAAGTAAATTTATGTTGAATAATTATTCTAGCAACTAAATAAAATAGAGATAATTATAGCCAAATAAGATAAATTAACTTTTTATTGTTTTTTAAAAAAAATTTTTTTTTCTTTTTAGTTTTAGTTTTAGAATAATTATATATTATAGTAGAAACATGACTTGCGTATATTGAATAAATCGTATGATATCATTTTTATTTGCGTTCTAAAAATATACTTTTCTATGAATTATATTTTAAATAAATTTTTATATTAATATTTACAGTTCAAGATGGATCTTTATTATATGCCCGCTTCAGCTCCTTGTCGTTCTGTTGAAATGACAGCCAAAGCAGTTGGAGTGACACTTAACAAAAAACCTTTAAACTTGATGGCAGGTGAACATCTTACCCCAGAATATTTGAAGATAAATCCACAACACACAATTCCAACTTTAGTTGATAATGGATTTGCAATCTGGGAGTCTCGTGCCATTATGGGTTACCTGGTTGAAAAATATGGCAAGGACGATTCATTATATCCAAAAGATCCCCAAACACGTGCAGTAGTCAATCAGCGCTTATACTTTGATATGGGCACCTTATACAAAAGCTTCTCTGACTATTTCTATCCGCAATATAGACTTAAACAACCAGCTGATCCGGAGAAGTTCAAACAAATGGAAGTAGCTTTAGGATTCTTCGATACGTTTTTGGATGGACAAACGTATGCTGCTGGTAATAGCATCACTATTGCTGATTTTGCATTGGTAGCTACTGTTTCTACTCTTGTACTTGTCGGAGTTGATATTACCAAATTCCCTAATGTTAATAAATGGTGGGAGAATGCCAAGGAAACCGTTCCTGGTTTTGATGATAATTGGGCTGCTTGCTTGGAAGCTAAAAAGCTATTTGATCAAATGAAAAATAATTAGTTTGCTTAGATGTGGAAATATGTTTAAAATTTATTTATAAGCTCAAAAATATTATTTAAAAAATATTATAATATTGAATATTATAGTTATATAGTATAAACTCAAAATAAATGCACAAAATTAAATTTGAATGTAATATGTTTTTATTCTTACACTTTACAAAAGCTTTAAAATTACTCAAAATCTTGATTATAGATTACCTTCAGCAGCAATTTTTAAAATATGTAATAATTAACCAAATAAAGATGTTTTTCAATAAAAAATAATAAATTTATTTCACACCATCTTAATCAAAAAAATACTTACCGAGCATCAACCACTCTGGATACTTTATAATACATCTGACTGTAATAAGACAGTACTGGAGGTATATTAAAAACCATGGTTCCTCAGGAGATATATTAAATCGTGTTGTTCCTTATTCTGTCTGTGAAGTATTGACTTAGAAACTTCATTTTGATTTCAACCACTAAAACGGCAATGGATTAAATGACATGGAACTATATCTTTTTTTTGTTTTGTAGAACATGTGGAGCAAGAGATGTTGAAATTCTCTTTACACTTTTTTCAAGTGTGTATCAAATCAAGTGCTATTTGCAAAGAATTAAAAACATATTAATTTATTAATATTATAACAAGATTCGCCTGCCCACGATTGCAATGATATAGAAACCAACAGTCGCGAGATTACCCGGTCGACCGCTGAAGAGATGGCGAGAATGCTGGACACCTGGCTCTGACATACAGAAACATAACCATTTGATATGTCATTATTTCACATAAATATATTCAATTCAATTGTTGTATCGAAACAGGATTTAATCCTTTATTAAAAAAAAAGAAGAAGAACAAGGTTCTGGCATTTAAAAACGCTAAAATTAATCAATTTTATATCTAAGTTAGATAACTCAAAAAAATGGAGAAAAATAAAAAATCTCTTAATAGAGCATATTTCTGTATTGTTTTTTTACAGACGTATTTTACTTTTTTAAATCGGTTTGTTTTAAATAATAAATAACCAACCATTTATTCTTTAGAGTTTGCTCTTAAGATAGCACTGCAGATAGTTATATGAATTGGTCTAGTTCTTCTGCTGCAGCAATAGTCCTAAACAAAGATATGTAGAGGAAACTACTTATCAATAAAAATAATAATTAAACAATACAATTATTTGTTTTTAAATGAACCAGTTAATCCTTACTTTTTATGGATTTAAATTTCGAATAGTTGCAAAGAAAGTACCAAACACTATCAACTGAGTTGATATCATCAAATTATATTTTTAGTTGAACTTAGATAATCGCATTTTTGGAAAAAAAATGTTAAAATAGCACAGTAATGCTTAGTAAGTAAATATTTTGTTAGATATAAAGAGTCATATAATAGACTTTGATTTCAAATGCACCGAATGTATGATGACTCAATATATAGAAATCTACAAAGCATTATCTAATTATTACGACTACCTATACTCATATATGTACACATACTATTAAACCAATATAACTTGTATAATTTATAATGTATTAAAATTTATAACCAGCTTAATAAACGCATTACTGAACAATCAGTATATTCTAAGATCTATAACATGAGCATGTGGTTTCAAATAATACTTGCGGCTTTACTTAGATAGTCCATAGATCTTTGAATCTTTGAATTCTAAAAATTTTAAGTTATTTTAAGTTTATTTTTCTCTTGAACTTTTTGAGTTCTTTTACTCTAAATTTCAAGACCTGACTCGATTCTTTGAAACCATACAATGAAATGTGAACGGGTTACGGACTTTTTGAACAGCTGATGTCGTAGCTTCGGATTAGAAGAGATAGAAAATATCTGATAATTGCTATTTTTATAGAGTTTCACTTCTTTTAATGTTTGCTCAAGATAATTGCAGATATTGAAGACGTTACTCGTAGTATGATCTCTTTGCATAAAGTGTAAGTGATCCGCGCCTTCAACGCGATAGATTGGTATTGGGACATTCATATTTCATATGTATTCGTTGTGGCTATATCTGGAATTTGAAAATGAGTTTAATGGATTTTACCTAGTTCTACTCTTCTATATGTATTGTCTGCATTTCCATTCTGTGGCTCATAACCAATTTCATATCACGATGTAATATTGTCTATATTGTCGTGTATGAAAATGATTGGAATTATGGTTTACATTATCTATTAAATAAACATTAGTTAATCACTTCATTCCGATAAGAATTTACCACGTCACTGATACCGAAGATTTAGATTAAAACCTTTCCATATAAATATGTAAGGGTGTTTATATTTTAAATTTATATCAAATGTGATTAAATAGTAAAAAAAAATTTGTATTGATTTTTGTGTATTTTGTGTGTATTTTTTACTTATTTTATCAACAATCTTCGGAGAGTCCATTTGCTTTAAATACGAAAGCACTTTCAGTCACAGCTCAGTGCGGAATTGAATTCTTCCAGTGAATATTGTGTGGAATTTACGTTAAAAGTAAAATAAAATTTTGTTTTTTTCTAAAAATTAACTAAAAATATATATGTTATATAAAAAATCATTTTATTAAATATTTTTAACATATTATTTTTGTTTGCAGTTCAAAATGGATTTCTATTACCTACGTTATTCAGCGCCTTGCCGTGCCGTTGAGATGACAGCTAAAGCCATTGGCGTCACTCTTAACAAAAAAACCGTGAATTTATTGGAAGGTGAACAACTTAAACCAGAGTATGTCAAAATAAATCCACAACATACCGTTCCAACATTGGTTGATAATGGTTTTGCGATCTGGGAGTCTCGTGCCATTATGGGTTACCTGGTTGAGAAATATGGCAAGGATGACTCATTGTATCCAAAGGATCCCAAAAAGCGCGCTGTAGTTAACCAACGTTTATACTTTGATATGGGAACACTAGCTAAAAGTTTTGGTGACTACTTTTATCCACAGTATAGATTGAAGCAACCAGCTGATCCCGAGAAGTTCAAACAAATGGAAGTGAACTTAGGATTTCTTGATACATTTTTGGATGGACATGCTTATGCCGCTGGTGATAATGTAACTATAGCTGATTTTGCTTTAGTTGCAACAGTTTCCATGATGATAATGGGCGGTATTGATCTCACAAAATTCCCAAATGTTAATAAATGGTGGGAGAATGCTAAGACAAACGTTCCTGGTTTTGATGATAATTGGGATGCGTGTTTGGAGGGTAAAAAACTTTTCGATGAAATGAGAAATAAATAATTTATTGCGAAGTGAAAATGTATAGAATTAATTTATAAATTTAATAAAAGACTAATTGTTTTGAATAAAATAACATTTGAACTAAACCATTTACTCTATTTAGAACTATTTCGGGAAATCCGGAAACAATAGTTTTTATGATTGAATAATCAAAACAGATTTATTTTTATTAAGTAAGATTCACTTGAAAAAACTTATGGAAAAAGAAAGAAGTCTCTTCTAATGAAATCATCAACGAAATTCTTTTTAATTTCTATTACTAAAAAATCCCTTTCTTTATATTATTATGTTGAGGCTAGTTCAGTCAGTGCACTTGAGCTTTTTTACTCTCAACTAACTGCGAGTTTCCTTTATAATCCCTTTCCACGCCTTGACTGGATTATTGTTTATCACTTCATCAAACTAAGCAATAACTGAACTCAGATCTGCATACCTTCCCGAGGAGCCTGTGTTCATTTTGGGATTTATATATGATTTACTAAAAAAAACAAACAGTCATTATATTTTAACCTGACATTCTTTTTAATTACTATACAAGATCGCCTTGACATATAACATTTAATACCATAACACCATGATCCATTTCATCATTGTAAAAAACAATTAGTGGGAAGGAAAGTCCAAATGTTTTGCTCGTTTACTTTTAAGTGAAAATCATGTATTTTATCATAGAAATTAATGAAGACAAGGTCAATACGACTAGAAACAACGTTAACCTTGCTTTGTCGAAGCTTTAAATGCACTTTCCACAGATAGTTCTGTTAAATGTCCAGTATTTATAATTTCTTCAACATATATAATTTTAAAACTATTATTTTGGATAAGATAAGACATACATCTATTTTCAGCATTGATTAGATTACGATTTCTGGGTCGCTAAGATTTAATAACAGATTTAAGCAGTCATTAATTCTGAGAAACTTGTTCCATTACGCTATATGCCATAATCTTGAGAAATAATCTAGTTTTGGAGATACTGAAGTTTAATGCTGTTTTGACAGTATCAAAAAAGGTCCCTACGCAAAGATTATTTGATTAACTGAAAAAAGTAGGAACTACTTTATATGTTAGCAAACAAGCGAAGAAATATATAGAAATATAAATTAGGCGAATTACTAAACAAATAGATAATCAGCGAGATGGCAATAATTATAAACAGATAGATGACAATAGCGAAATCGATTCGTCTTTTTATGTTGATTAAGATCACCTATGTATGTGTAAGTGGTTCATTTTGCGCCCGGTACTTGCCTTACTTCGTAATAAATATTTTGAGAGCCATTAAGAGACTAGAAAGGGTCTTGCCACTTGTGTAAGGATAAAATAAATTTCATAGTAGCTTCATTAAGTAGCTGTGGAACCGTACCTGTGGAAATTATTACGTGTACTCAAATGTATAAAATAGTGGAGATGAGTGGAGCGATAATCGTTGTCACGCACAAGAACAATACTCGCATATAGTAGTACTAAATTTAAAATAAACGGGCTTACCGGTGAAGTACACACTTGGATATTATTATATTATATGTGTGTATATTTGCATTTAATTAACTTTTAGTTTATTGAGGCTTACTCATATATATAAAAGTTGCTACGTCACTTGAAATAAAAGTTCTAGAACAACAAAAAAAAATCAGTGAAACTAATTAGTTTTATTTCAGTTGAATTAATTTTCAAGTGTAAATTAATCGGCGAGAGTGTTAATTTTATTTTACTTTTTTGAATTTAGAAAAACAATAATTATTTAAACAATCAATGGCAACAACAAAAAGTATCTTATCTACTGAAAAGTGTGACTTTTTGCTCTGAAAAATGCTTTAAATATAAAAATATTTTCATTTTAAATTCAGTTGCCTTTCGTATCTGACGCTGTGGTCACCAAGTTGGAATTCAAGTTTTTCAGGGGAAAAAAGTGAGTTATGAGTATAAACAAACTGAAACAGATTGTGTATAAATACTCAGAACATATTTCTTAATATTTTTTTTATTTACTTATGTATCTCATATCTCAGCCACAAGCGAAATCCGAAAATACATATGTATTGTGTCTAGATAATAAAATATCGTATGACTTTATTGCTAAAAAATTGTTTATGAAAATAAAAAACAGTGGTGACAAGCAAGAAGCTCTAAAGTATCTACTAAAGATAGTAATATATATAAATATATTGTATAATTCTTATTTGGATGTACTCAGAATTGTTTGTTAATATTGTCAAAAAAGAAGAAGAATTAGTGCTAATTAATTAAAACCAAAAAGTAAACAATAATTTTTTATAGAAGATACTAAGTTTAAAATATCTGTAGAAAGCAAAAAAAAAATAATTTGCATGTTGTGCTTAGTTGCTTCAATTAAAAATAAGAAAATTTTAAAAATAATTAATAATATAAAATTAAAAAAATTTTAAAAATAATTAATTATAAAAATTTGTATAAATAAACTTATTATTTATTACACTTACACTTATAAGTAAGTAATAATTAATTAAAGTAAGTAAGAAATAATATAAAATAATATATAAATACATATATACTACATAATATATATTTATATATATGGTATATATATTGTACTATTGCACTATTTATATATATTACTTAATTCAAAATTGTTTTTAATAAAATTTTATATTCTAAACAATACTTTATTAATTTTTCAGTTCAAATTATATCAATAAATAATGGATTTCTATTCTATGCCACACTCTGCACCCTGCCGTGCTGTTATGATGACTGCAAAAGCCATTGGCGTCCAACTAAATCCAAAATTAATCAGTCTGCCAAATGGCGAGCACTTGAAACCAGAATATTTAAAACTGAACCCACAGCATACCATCCCAACTTTAGTAGATAATGGTTTTGCTTTGTGGGAATCACGTGCCATTATGACTTATTTAATTGAAAAATATGGCAAAGATGACTCCTTGTTTCCTAAGGATCCTCAACAACAGGCTGTGGTGAATCAACGTTTGTACTTTGACATGGGCACTTTATACAAAAGTTTTGCAGATTATTATTATCCACAAATTAAGTTTAAGGCACCAGCAGATCCAGAAAAATACAAAATGATGGAGAAAGCATTTGAGTTCCTAAACACTTTTTTGGATGGTCAGACTTATATTGCCGGTAATAAGTTAACTGTGGCAGATATAGCCTTGGTGGCGACAGTCACCACTTTTGCTGTGGCTGGTTTTGACTTCAGTCAATATGACAATGTCAATAAATGGTGGGAAAATGCAAAGAAAGTAGTGCCCGGTTTTGAAGAAAATTGGGAAGCATGTTTATCCTCGAAAAAACGTTACGAGGATTTGAAAAAATAATAAGAAATATTTAAATAAGTTATTGTTATCTAAATGCTTATGTGTTTTAATTAATTAAAACTGTGCTCAATTATAGTATTATAAATAAATATAAATAAAAAATTATATTAAAATGAATTTATTTAAACATAGAAAAATGTTACGAGTATCTATTGGTACGATGATTATTATGGCATGTTCTGTACAATATTTGATTGTATAAACTTAGCCTATTCGCAAAGAGTTTAAACAAAAGTTTTTTAATTTTGCCTATTTCGAGTGATATATCTCAGTTCACCTCTTGATTTATTTGTTTCATTGTTTATGGTACTACGCCAAGAATTGCGTAGTCGTCCTCGGGTTCTACTACCTTGCGAATTCCAGTTTAGTGCTGCATGGGCTACGTCGTTTGTGCTTTTGCGAAACGTATGTCCAATCGACCTATATTTCCGTTGTCGAATTTTCTCGAGGGGCTGTTGCTTAGTTCCACGCCATAGTCGCTCATTTGAGACCACTAAATGGTACGGTAAAGCAGAAGGAAATGTTCTTCGATCTGTGTGACAAGAAATGAAGAAGTTTGACATATATGAGAAAAACAATATTTGTAAAGGAAAGTACTATATACTATATATATAGTACTATAAGTACTATATTTTGTAATATATAGTAACGAAAAGTACCAATAAATAACTTGAAGTGCTATTTGTAATAATTTTAAGAACCGCCAAGTTATAATGCTTAAAATAGATTATCTTATAAAGTTTATATATCTTTTAACATAGATATGATAAACTATCATACATTCCCTTATACTCAAAAATAATATAAGCCTTTTTTCTAATCGCTGTACAACAGGTCTTTGTACTCTTAAACTTATTTGATAGCAGTATCTAAACTATTAAGCAAAAATCATAAACAAATTACATTATCATAAATATGTACTTCCATGTAGATTTCAAGTTCCAGCAATAATTTTTGTATGAACTCTCCTTAGTATATATTTTATACTCATTTACTCGCATGTCGTCGTACCTCCATTAGTTTGAACAAATTGAAATCGGAGAGATCTTGAAGTACATTCATGATTAACATAAATTGATCTATTGTAACTGTAAAGAGAAAATAGTTCAGATAAAACACTTGCCAGTTCTCTTCGTAATTACACGATTAGTAATTTTATTGCTTTGATAGTGAAGATTATTTATTAGTGCGAACGATTTCAGAGCACTCCTTATCTCTGCGACACTTGAGGCTTTTAGATTAGTTGCATTTGTGGTTCGATTGAGTTAAGTTCCTGCTGTGTAAACGCTTTTGTGGAACAAATCAAACGTTAACTAAAGATATTTGAAATATTTAGGTATTTTGCTTATATAAAAAAAATTAAAAAGTAAGTGCATATTTGGAACTTACATTTTATATTTTGATTTAGTTTATTTGTACTTTATACTTTTTCAAAACTATAATAAATTAAATTAAAATATTATATTTTCTTACCTTAATCACTTTTTACAATAGAAATGGACTTTTATTGCTTTCCTCAATCGGTTCCAAATCGTGCTGTCATAATGACAGCTGCAGCTGTGGGTGTGAAACTCAATAGAATTCCATTAAAATTGTTAGCGGGCGAGCATCTGAAGCATGCTGAATTCATGAAAATTAATCCGCAACATATGGTACCAACAATTGTTGATAATGGCTTCGTTTTGTGGGAATCACGTGCCATTATGACTTACCTAATCGAGCAATATGGCAAGGATGACTCATTGTACCCAAAAGACCCTAAAAAGCGTGCTTTGATAAATCAACGTTTATACTTCGATATGGGCACTTTATACAAGGCCTTGGGAGACTATTATTATCCGCAATTAGCTAAGAAATCCAAGGGTGATCCTGCTCTTTACAAGAATATTGAAACAGCTTTTGAGTTTTTGAATACATTTCTTGAGGATCAATTGTATGTGGCTGGTGATACATTTACCGTAGCAGACATTGCCTTGGTAGCAACAGTTTCCACTTTCGCTAATGCTGAGTTCGACTTCAGCAAATATGAAAATGTCATGAAATGGTGGGAAAATGTTAAAAAGGTGACTCCTGGCTTTGAAGAAAATCAAGCAATACTTTTAGCTGACAAGTATCGTTGGGATGCTTTAAGAGAATAAAGAAACCGTTTGAAGTTGATTCCAAATACTGTTTAAATTTATAAAAAAATGATTTATTATGTAAATATAAAGTCTCTAAAATAAATTTACATATATTTTTAATTTTAATTCAATTGACATAGTTTCTTTCGAATACTTGTTCTACTGACTTAAAGCTACATGCGTTTAACATCAATTTTTTTAAATTTTTGGCAGGTACAATTAACATAAAAAACTAATAGTAAAGCTAGAAAACGTTACTAAAATGTTTCCATATTGCACGAAAGTTACATCAATTTCACTATGAAAAAGCTTCTTTCCACTTCACAACGGATAAGTGGTTCTTATAGTTCTAAAATCACTAGCTAATAAATTGAATGAGATTTGCCAAATTCAATTGGCCGTCTGAAAGATTGCTCGAGATTTTGCAATCGCTCTTCCAAATCGTTCATCGAATTTCGCAGTGTATGTCCACGTGGTCTAAGTGACACTTGCGGCGAGTTCTGCACTAGGTCATCTCTAACACCTGAAAAGGAGTGCCTTACGCAAGCATTACGACGTTCAAAATTCGTGCTCTGATAGTCTTGTTCTTTAAGTCTATGGTGATCACACAGATTCAGCATCGAACTACGACAATTTGAAGCAGTTAGTGGCACATCGTTTTCTTCGTAATTTTCTCTGAAATTTGTGAAAATAGAACACAACTCATTATAATATACATTTAGATAGATTTAAAATAAAGCTTACGTGCACTCTTCTGGTATAGTCACATTACCGGTCATGGTAATCACATTCTGTACATCTGCATTATTCATTTTTCCTTCCATATGTGCTTTGGCATGTTTCGGACATAACAATCCGTTGCCATTCAGGCGTTGTCCGTTATTGGCACTTACATATTGTAATGAGTCCGGCGAGGTTTCGTATAATTCTCTACTACTTAAAAAGTCCACACCAGAGTCTTGCCCATTTGAGTGTAATGAGAACATAGAACTCTCATAAGGACTGTTCGCAACGCTGTAATATGATTTAAAATTTTTTTTTGTAATTTTTTATAATAACGATTTCATTTACAAATAAAAACTTACAGATTATTTACTGGCTGACAGCTGTTGTAGTTCAGCACAAAAGGAGCTGGTGAGGTGTCTTGCTCTAAAGAACTGCAACGAGCTAAGTTGTTTTTAACAATCGATTTGGGTAAAGGCACATCTATATATTCTCTTTGCCGTTGACTATAATGATATAAACATTTATTCACTTTAATGCGAGATTTTCTATATGAACAGATGTTGTTCACAATTACATATCCATAAACCTAGCTTTTAATGTATTTTACTAGATATATAAACAAATTCCTTTGAACATATATTTGACAAGCTAAATAATAATGAATAATGGATCAATAAGATCAAATTACAATAGATGGATTCTAGACATACAATGTAACAAGATTATTGGAAAACAAAACCATTTTGTGGAAGAAACTATTTTGGGCAATGAAATGCTTTTGCTCCCATAGACCAAAATTGCCATTGAGAACTTCTTCTGTTCTTTACAAGTTATTTCTTCAAGTTCATTACCTTCTAAACTATTACCTTCTATTCAGTAAACCTTTAGGTCAAGGTTTTTGTTTAAACTTGGCATATATACATACATCCAAACCTATACAGGTTTTCTCGTTTCTTCAGTTTCTGTGCTGATGTCAAGAAATCAAGTGCCAAACGCACTTAACCTATTTATCTGCACAGCACTTCCATTTCACTGTGGAAAACTTACTCAATTTGTTGTTGATGCTGTTGCTGTTGTTGTTGTTGCTGCTGCTGATGATGATGGTGATGATGATGATGACTGTGTTGTTGATGTGGATGCTGATGTGCATGCAGTTGGTGTTCTAGTTTCTGTGAAGCTGGCGCTGTTGATTGCGTTTGTGCTGACGAGCAAACCGATTCTGGTATGAAAGAACTTGTTGTGTGGATTGATTTACCGCATTGTTGCTGTTGTTGTTGCTGTAGTTGATGTTGTTGTAAAATATGGCGTTTGCGTTGCTGGCGGCACGATTCGATGCCAGCACGTGCAATTGTATACGTGAGACCGGTTTCGGACGATTGAAAATCCTGTTGTGACCAAGTTCGTCTGAAGCCCATGAAGGATGGCGTAACAGGCAGAAAACATATGAGAACAAAAAAAAGACAATAATCATTAACAAGATAATTTATTAAGAAATAAATATTTAATTAAAAAAATAGCACAGAAAATTATATGAGTCAAGTATCTAGGAATGCTGGAAATGTTATTTATTAAGTGAACGTGATATGGAGTATGTGTGTAGGTTTACATTTACAGTTATAAAATATTCTGTTGCATACTAAGACTGAACCAGTTTTTATTTTTCTTTCAATAAATGTTGTATCTCTTTGTATCTTGAAAAGTTCTAACGGTCGATAATCTGAAGATACTCATTAATTAAGCCGATAAACAATAACGCATCAGTGAACTTCAACGTTCTTAGCTAGTAATTGCCTTGTTTATCTCTACTTCAATGGCCACAAGACCACAAAGAAAACAAAAAATAATTAATGAAATTTTTTTTGCATTTTAATTTTATTATAAATCAGTGCTTATCTGTTTAATTATTCGATTATGAAATATTCCATTAATCATTATTGTTAAAGTTTAAAGAAAATCAGTCTTAATTATGCAGTTGAGTTTTTCTGTAAAGTACAATTACCGTTTCAGACGTAGGCACATGAAACATAAAGCAGCCGTCGCAGCACCAAGTCCACATAAAATGATTAGCAGGAAAGTTAAGATTTCCAAGCCTCCAATTAGGTGAGAAGAGCTTTGATTATTGTGTGCCAGCTTTCCAAATTCTGCTAATTCTATGATGCGTGGCATAGACGCTCCCACTGTAATCATATTGTCAGATTCTTGCAGCTGCTTCTCATACTGAAACTGTAATGTATCCAGTTGCAAGCTAGCCAATGACCTAAAAATTGAACGAAAAGAATTTAGGATAACGTTGCTGAAGGCGTGTAGTTTTCTACTTACTCATGTAACTGCTCCATATCCAAAATGGAATTAGTACGAAAATCAACAGCATAAATATAAGCATCAGTACTGAAAAGAAATATTTATATGGATTTAAATTTATAAAATCGTTCACTTATATAAATTGCTAAATTAAATAAGCAAAATAAAGTACATAAGGTTGGTAATGCGGTTTATAAGTGATAACTAAGTTAATATCAATAAATTTTTGTGTACACTAGAGTTTACACTATCCATTAATTTATAAAAAAGCCTTACGTTTATAAGGAAGTAATACTTACGCAGGTTCCAGTCCACCTATATGTGGCTCAAGTAATCTCACTCGCACATCCATTTGTATAGCACTGCTCAGCAGATTAGTAAGAGAATCAATTTTTCTTTCCACTTCAATTGGTTTGCCTGCTACGACAATACGCACTTGCTTAGCCTCTTCAATTACATACACAAACACATTTATAATGCTACTTCTACCGTCATCTGCACCATTTCGATCTGCAGCTTTAACGTCGAAACCATAAACGCGTACATCCATTGGCACATTACCAATAAGCCGAATTTTACCAGTAAACTCATCAATGGCAAAAAGTCTGGACGGTTCGTTTAACAAACGATAACGTATCTCTGCATTGAGACCAACATCCGCATCACTTGCATGAACAGTTGTCACAGGATAACCGAAAGTGGCAGAACGTGGCACTACCGCAATTATTGGTTGTCCATTTCCTTTAAATTTGGGCGTATTGTCATTATCATCTAATATGTTCACAACCACTCTACATTCATTTTGCTCTAATCCTTGAATACGTTCATCCAAAACAGGATAGGAAATTTGCGCATAAGTACGTGCCTCTCGATTAGACTTTTCGGCGCGAATTCGTAGTTGATACAGTTCTTTAGTTTCTCTATCGAATGATTTGAGTGCATACAATGCACCTGTTTTGGCCTCGAACTCAAATGGCGGATGCACATCTTCAGCATCTGCACCCACTTCCATCAATAACGTCCAATGGTAAGCATCGACATCGATATCTTTAGTTAAATTAACAATTAATATTTCCACAGGTGCATCATTGTTTTCCAGCATTTTTACCTCGTAGTACTGGTGTTGGAAGACGGAAATATTTTGCGATTCAACTACTTCAATTGGCTTGGCATTTGGTTCTGTGACAGCTTGCCCTTGTAGGTTTATAAGCACGACTGCAGTTGAAGAGCGTGGTGGGCTACCTAAATCGGATGCCACAACGGTAACGTTTAAGTGTTCGTACTCATTGTAGCTTTTGAAATTTGCTATAGTGGATATTGTACCGTCACGTGAATCGATCTGAAATATGGGGGTGTGCAGATCTTGATGTTGAATGGAATACAGCACTAAGCCGTTGCCATTACCCACGTAATCTTTATCTATTGCTGACACTTGCTTAACAAACATGCCTTGTGTAGTACTACGATCGAGATACGCTTTATATATGGGCACCATAATTGTTTTATCTGAAAGATCTGTTATGTATTGCGCTGCATTTGTCATATCGTCATAGCCCACAAATTCTGGTTTATTGTCGTTAAGGTCGAGTACATTCACTTCCACTTCAACGGTACTGGACATTCTGTACAGCGGTTCTGCATTGTCCATTGCAATTACCTGAAAATTATATTTGGCACGAACTTCGCGATCTAGTGTGCCCATAATTTTGATGACTCCAGAAAGTGTTTTAATTTTGAAAGGCAAGTCCAGTTCACTTAAGCTGTAAGATACGTTTGCATTTTCTCCGTAGTCGAGGTCAACTGCTAACACTTGACCAAGTACGCTATTGTTGTATTCACCTTCTTGCACATCGAAACTGTACCATGATTTTTTAAATGTGGGTGCATGGTTATTCACATCAATCACAGTAAAACGTATACAGGTTGTATCCTTTAGTCCATCAATATCCGTGGCAGTCAAATTCAAGAAAATCTCCGCATTTGCCATTAAAGGATAGTTGACCTGCAGTTCACCAGTTAGTTTGTCAATAGTAAAATACTTTGCTCCGTATACCTTCGGTAACATACCAGAGCCAATTGAGCGGTCCATGTGTTCTGCCAAAACTTCATAATGCACTTGGGCGTTCTTGCCAAAATCCTCATCACTGGCAATAACCTGCAGTACTTTCGTGTTTAGCGGTATGTTTTCGTATACGGCAAATAAAGGGCATTTGACTATACCAGCCTTTTGATAAGGTGCACGAGGCGATCGGCTCTTCTTTGCTATACGCGTTCTTGCTCGTGGCTTTTGACCCGTTGCTCCCATATAAGTAGCATTGAATGTGCTATCTTTATTGTACCTTGGTGAGCCTGGGATTTGATAAGGCGGTATAACAATCGAAGATGGTACTGACTGTAATTGTGGGAACGAACTCTCGACAAAGTAAATTTCCATGTCAGTGGTATATTCTCTTATTTCTATTTTGGAGTCCTTAAATACTGAAATTCGTTCGAATATTGGTGCATTATCGTTGACATCAGCAATCAAAATATTCAAATTGGCTTGCGTCGATAAACCGCCGGTATCAACTGCTACAATTTTAAGATTGTAGAGTTGATCTTTTTCTCGGTCCAATTGACGTTTGCCTGTGTACTTAATTCGGAAATGTGGACCAACATCGGTTTTCATTTTAGGCTCCATAAGCATAGTCTGCATTTCCACAAATTTTATCTCTTCATTCCACTGATCAGTTAAATTAAAAATGTTAAATGTCTCAGCATTGGTGAGACGCGAATTGTAATGGCTCTTATTAAGTACTTCTGAAGTATCGTTGATGTATTCAATGCTAAACTGTTCACTATATTCCCCTTGCAGTACAACCCGAAACTCAGCATTGCGTCCTTCATCAGCATCATTCGCGAGTATCACTTGGTTGGTGGAAACTTCACTGCCACTTGCACTATTCTCATTAATTAAACCAACATAAGTCAACGCGTTAAACTTGGGCGCATTATCATTCACATCGTCGACTTTCACATGCACCTGATAAATACCAGCTCCACTTACAAGTCCTGTGGAGTACTCCACAATCACAGTGAGATCATATTTAGGTTGTTGTTCACGATCGAGTCCCATAAGTGTTATAAGCGTTCCATCCTCGGTGATAGAAATTTTGTTTACAACTTCTTGTTGATTTGCAATGATGTAGCGTAGCTTTACATTGGAATCGCCTACAAGTCTACGAGGAAGACGCTTTCTATTGAAAAGACGCGGGTTATTACTACGAAATTTACTGCCAATAGTGACATTATTTTTGTGTTTCAGTTCTCTGTACGAACCCAAGTCGTTGTTTACCACATTAACGCCGTTCTTATAAAGCAGCTGACCAATTTTGCCACCAACTAGATTCTCTTCGATGTGAAATGTAATTGCATTCATATTGATTTCTCTGCAATAAAATTTCTAAGTCTTTTTCCTCAAATGTAGTTGCGATACTTACTCTATAACAGGCCGCAGATTAACTCTATTATCTGGTTTCGGTACTACGTGTATGGTGACATTGGTTATGAGAACACCTTCATCAGTAAGTTCTAGTGCCTTTGGCTGTGCGCTGCGAGGCATCGGCAGTGGTTGAGATGAATTTGCAAACATCTATGTAAAAGAAATCCATTTGACTTTGTTTTTTATAAGAAATGTATGAAATATTTACTCACGTAGTTCGCAACTGCTTCAAAGTGATAAACTTTTCTTTTGAATTCCGACAGTTCACGTATAACCGTTATAATACCAGAACGCTCTTCAATTGCAAATGGCACACCTTCTGAGTATGTGTGTAGAAGATCATACATAATTTCATCCTCTCCATCATAAATGAGAGTTGTCCGAACTTGACCCACTGAAGTACCTAATCCTGCATCTGAGCCAACCCAAAATTCATAAGGTGCACCTACAAAATCTATTGCTTGGTCGTCAATCGTAGCGTAAACTTCAATCGTTATTACTGCTAAGGTAAATCGTCGCTCTGATGGATTTGTAGGCTGCAATAAGGCAGTTTAGTTCAAAACAAAAAAAAAGTGCGTATTAAAATTATAGCTTAATTATAATTACAGTAACATTTATCCAAAGTTTTCAGCATTTTCAATACCCATATTTCTCACCTGATCACTTGCTTCAACAAATACGGCAATACGACCTCTGCGTAACGGTCCACTAACATGTATGCTGCCATTTTTACTATCCAAATGAAATGGTATATAACCACTGCCTTTAGGTCGTTGCAGTTCATACGTCAGCATGCCATTTGGGCCATCATCTGGATCCAGAGCTACTACTTCGCCGATTTTGTAGCCAACCGGTGCAGTAATGGGCACTTTAAATTCATACAAATTACCACGTTCGAATTTTGGTGTATTATCATTTGTATCCAACAGTGTGATCATTACTTTAACTGAGTTAGGTATGCTTCTTCTGAAATTCCTATCGCCTATGTAGGGTGGATTCCGTTCAATAGCTTCTACAACTAGACGTATTGCTTTGCGTTGCTCACGATCAAGTAAGCGATCATCACGCACTGTTATCCAACCATTACGGGAATCAATACGAAAAGCACCTCTAGAAACTTCTTCTTCAATTAAATTGTAAAGAAATTCGGCATTTTCCCCCTGATCGCGATCAATAGCATTTACTTGCAAAACACTGAAACTGGTAGGTAAATTCTCCACAATTGATATATTGTAGAAGTCCGCTTCAAATTCTGGCATATTGTCATTTAAGTCAAGTATTTCAACTTCAATTCTAGAGAATGAAGATTAATAGACTATTTTTGATTTTCTTATGGATAGGTGTTACCTGGCTACGGCTTTTTGTAGAGGATTATCACGCTGTCGTGCTTCGATTTGTAAAACAAATGTGTTACCCGGTAAGCTTTCTTCTTCTAGATCGATTTCTTTTTGTATCCAAACAACTCCATTATGTGGACTTACGCGAAAGATTTTCCTTTCATTTCCTGATATGATATCATAAATCAAAGTTGCATTTAACGAATCCTGATCGTAAGCCATTATGGGTGGTGAAAAGTAGAGTGGCATTCGTATTGGTTTTCCCTAAAATTATATAATGATTAAAAAACGAACGCTTTAGAGATTTACAAATTGCACCGTTAATGGAAAAAATTCATTGATCTTAGTCCGGTAAACGCCTTCAGTAAACTTTGGTGGAAGATCATCAATGTCCAGCACATTTATTGTAATTGTCGTATTCGCTTGATTCACTGGTGTGCCTCTATCCCAAGCAAAGAGTGGCAATTTAAAACTTCGAATTCCATAATCGAAGTCAAGTTCCTTTTTCAGTACCAATAATGGACGATGTGGACCTTTCAGTGCAAAATATGGACTGCCATCAGCGGATAACTGATCTGCCACAGTCGATATGCTAAAATGCACATCAGAGTTTGGCGTGTTTGGCTTGTCATGATCGATTGCTTGTATGCCTTCAAAAATCACAGTTCCGGCTGGTGTGTTCTCATTAATATTAATAGTATAGGGTGTATTTAGAAATTCTGGCACATTATCGTTTACATCTTCTATATAAACAGTAATCGATAAGTAGCTACCCTGCGAATGCCAAATTTAAAATATAAAGCATATAAAACAATGAAAAATTAATAATTGGTTTTTGTAATAGTCTGTCACGTACCTCTTCAAGTTTTTCTCCTTTTCCCGCACAGAGAACGCGAAATTTTAATAAATTTTTTGGCACCTCACTATCTACTAAATCCTCCAAAGAGTGTGAAAGCATAATTCCAATGGTAGTTGCATTTATCTCCTGCAGTCCAAAGTACTTGTGATCACCACTGCCCTCGGCTCCCATCAGCGCTATCTTTGTGCGTGGGTATGCATTCAATATAAGTATATCCTTGCCCACTTCTGCGTCCTCACGTAGGCGTATGAATCGTACACCTTCACTTTCGGCGGCTATGCCGTCTGAAGTGTGAAAAGCGCAACTCGTATTGGCTGTAAGTAGAAATATTAAACTAACAATTTAACCAAAAAAAAAAAAACTACAATAACTACAAAAATTGAAAGCGAGAAATGCGATCGCGATTGTTGCAACTTTTGCTGCAACATCCTGTTTAGATAAATGCACTATGCACCCATTCCACGGCAACATGGCTGTGCGACAAATTGTTGACTTTTTGATTTGATAATTACAATATTTAAGTATGCAAGCTACAGAAAAGGGAGTAGCTACGAAAAAGTATCTGATCTGCAAACAATAAAAATTAAATTATTAACTCGACACCGTGCGAAAAATTTGCAACACTTGCAGTGCCATTCCATTATATCGGAGTCTTTCTAAAATTTAATATGCAACAAGCCGCAAAGTGAATGAAGCAAGTGCAACATGGCACAGTGGCGTAGTTAATATTTAGTTTTACACAGCTGTTCTAAGTAACAGCTTAGAACAGCTGTTATTCAAAGACTTTTGCTGAAGAAAGTATCGAGCATACACAAAATATACTGGATATAAGTAGAATTGTTACAATGATTTTAATATTAAACACCGAGAAAGATAAGTACTGCTGGCGACGAAAATTGACACGACTAGCAAAAGTCTTGTCCTTCAACTAAAATCTCAAAGTTCAGCTGAAAACAGATCAGGACACATAAATATAACAAATATTGAGTTATTAGACACACAAGCAAAAACTCTGAACCCTGCAGAAATTACTTTCATCTTTTAAATAATTGATCAAGTTTTTAGTCCAGTATCCTCTTTTCTACACCATCGTGTGAGACTTACACCCACTAAACCACCTCTTAGGAATGAATGGAGAAGATTTCCACAGCATTGTGAAAGTTTTATTCCAGTAATCGGGGGAGAGAGAAAACACCTACTTCTCTACAGCGTATATGGATAATACTGCATTTTAAATATTTTATTGTATTATACTATATACATATACAGTCAAACTTCGAATTTTCTATAATTCGAATCAAAAACAGTGCATCAAGGTTTTAGAGAGCATATTACACACAATTCTGCTTCCACAAATCGAACTTCTATAACACGAATTTCTCTATAACTTGAACAGAAATGTTGTTCCGGGCCGACAGGAAAGTGGAAATATGCATTCTATAAGTAGAATTTTTGAATTTAGTATGAATTCATAATTGGATTTAGGGGAAGTCTCTTTTTCCAAACCAAATGTTTAACTTTTCTTTTTTATATTGCTTCTTTGTGTAAATGCCAGTCGCTGGCAGCGTGGTTTAAAGTAAATAAAGTAACTTCTAACGCTACTCTTAGCTATTATATTGAGCTTCACAATGAAATTTGTACATCAAGCTTTCCTACAAATGACGATATTGCTGGGCACTATAGCTCTAAATCACTGGATCCCATTCTAAGCACAACGGAAAGGGATGATGAGGGTTCCGTGGATGTGATTGTTTACCTGCCTTTCAATAATGAAGTAGAAGACTCATTCAATATTCTGAATTTAAATTTGCAAACGAATGATACTACAACTGATGATCACTATCACTATATGGCTTCAAATAAAATGGAATATCTTTTTACTGAAAGTAACAAAAAAAAATTAAAATCCCAAAACTAATTTCTAATTATTAAACTTCACTATAACTTCTGTGCTTTATTTAATTTTAAATAAATAAATAAATGTCTTAAAATATAATTCTAGTTTCTTTCAAAATCTCTAACTCGAAGTCTCCATAAGTCGAACCTTTTCTTTGCAAAATTGGACTTCGAGTTGTGGAAGTTTGACTGTATTTATATTATATGATAATATATATTCTTATTATATATTTTATTTACAACAATACCAAAACTAAATGGTTTTATTTTAAAAATGCAATATTATAACAATTTATACATTTCATAGAATAAATTTTTTAAAAAGACTCATAGCCCTTCTACGCCACTGCTCCCGCGACTGCAGAAATTATTAATTAATAAAAGTCAAAGAAGTGCAACTTTCTTTGTTTATAGAATAAAATATCTTAGCGCGTTCGTCTGCCTGCCTGCCCGCCCTGTCTGCCTGTCTGCCTGACTTTCGGTCCATCCGTGTCTGCGCAAAGTGGCGTTATTAACTGCATGCTTTTTGCTTTTCCCTTTGCCCACAATAAATCGTACTTTATTGCTGAAATTACTGCGCATTGTTGGCAACTACGGCACCAGCACTGCAGCTAACAACATATTTGATGCCTTCTTATTTAGCAACACTTTTACAACCAACAATACAATATTGCATTCCGTGGCAACTGCCACTGCAGCAGAAATGCAACTGCAACTGCAACTGCACTGTAGTCTGAGGAGCGAACAGCTTTTTCATAATTTTTCCCACCCTCATGACATAATTAACTGAATCCGAATCCATCTTCTTCTGACTGAGAGTTGGAAGACTTGGCTTACTTAGGTTAGTTGGATGTGTGGATGTGTGGATACGGGCCAAATTGGGCATTAGCGTTTGTTTTATTGTTTTAAATCGCAGTTGGTTTTATTGTTTTGCATATTTTAGATTTGTTGCAGATACGCAGTGAGAGACGAACTTTTGAAATGCGATCAAAGTGACATGGAACTACAAACACACAAGTATCTATTATTTAGGTGCGGATATGTCCGTACATTTTTTTTATGTACAACATTTTTTACAAACATATTTTTTGTGAATATTGCATTATTTATTTTTTACAAGCCAATAGAGAAATCTCAGAAACTATTGAGGTTGTTTTTTTTTGCTGTCTTACTCTTTTTAAATGGCTTTAAGGGAAAGTATCTGCATATACTAGTACAAATAGCCAATTTAAAGGAAGCCATAACTTATCAATCATGTATTAACATTTTAATAACATATAATATATATACATATGTTTATATATATATATATATCTAATAGGTTCTTTAAAATTCAATAGAAAATGGTAAGCCTTAGTTTATAGGACTAGTAAACTGATTTTGTCTGTCCAACAATTCTTCAGACAGACATACATGTTAGTCAAATATGTGCGAGAGAATGTCTTCGAAACAAGAGTAAGAAAGCCACAGTTACATACTATCGAATAGTTAGACGGCATAAAAACGCTCCAGGCTGTAATAAATCGAAACCTCGAAAATTGTTAACGATTGCCTTAACCTAATACGATAATGAACATCAATACTGTAGTCTTAAAATGAGAATCCCAGAAAGCAATTAAACACGAAATCCATAAAATGTTATAAGTACAAAAGCGTCAAATACCATATGCCTCCAATTGCGTCTGAGCCGTTCTATAAACTTGATAAAGTTAATTAAATGAAGTATGTAGATAATGGGTGAAGATAAAATTTGCATATCACTGGTTTAGTGTAGACCAACATCAAGCAAAACAAGTTCCTATCCCGGCGAAGATAATGTCAACTAATACACGCTCGCTTGGTACACTTGAGGATCTGGTTACTTTAGAGATCATAGCAACATGTGATATTACATACATTAGTTGGAGTTCTCCAACTTTGTTGTCATTTTTATGAAATGAACACCGAAAACTCTGAATGGATCACGGTTATGTACAATAGATACATTCAGGTGACTGTGCACTCAAGCTTTAAATAAAAGTTTATAGTTCTCTAAATTTTATTTTATTATTTATTTTACCTTGACCAATTTTTCTCTACCTTGAACTTTTAATTACTTCTGACTTCTTACAAAATTTGGAGATCTACAATTAAGACTCTGGTTAATGATTAGATAATAATTCAAAACATGTCATTAATAGTGTAACATTGCAATTAGTCTCTACGTGAAGAAATTGACTATAAAGAAATTTTAAAGTTGAAATTTGGATATTTTGAACAAAGGACATAATCGTATTAGGAAACTCGCAGTTTCAAAGATCTATTCGTATCAAAATCAAAGTTCTCTGCTTCACTGGTGGCTTTTATGCTACCAGAATACCCTTGATATTGTACTGTATTCTTCAACCTCTATTTACCGGCCATTTTTAAATATCTGGTGTTTTTCTAGCTGCATAAGAACTATCGGTATCGATAACTATGGTTTAACAGCTGAGAATGTCAAACTGTGTTGACATTTATCTTCAGTAAGGTTTGGGAATTCATCATGAATCGTTTAACGCTAGAACAACGCTTCCAAATCGTGGAAACTTAACTATATAAAAAAAAAATCTGGTCTCAAAGTTCATAGAGCACTTCGTCTATTTTAGGGTCAACAAAATCGGCCTAGTAAGCAAGCAATTCCTGCAGTTATTGATCGTTTTTGCACTAATTTCACTCTTTTCGATTCAAAATCATGATATATAAAAGTAAAAATAAATAATAGAGAAAACAATAGAGTAAAGAGGATGACGCTTAGATATAGATTTGAATAATATTAATTTATATTTGATCCTTATCCTGATGATGACTTTTAAGGAGAGTGAAATTTTCATTAATATTAATTTATATTCGATCCTTATCCTGATGATGACTTCTCCTTAAGAGTTGAAATATAGAATATATTGAAAAATATTAAACGTTTAATTTTAATTTCAACAAAAAGTGAATTTAGCTTATTAAACCTTTGAATTAATATATATCCCAATCATAAAAGTCATAAAAATTTAGAAAAATTGAACTCAAAAACAATAGCAATTGTGAATTAGTAACAGAAGTGAAAAATACCTGGTACTATAATATTGAATCATTATGTGTATATTTAGATAGGTATTACTTCTACAATAGTAACTATAATTAAAGACAATGAGATGCAGTTTAATAAAAATTAGAACAAAATTTTTATTCTTTTAATGACTACAAGTATTCCGTATTCAGTATTCAGTATTCAGCCTTTGTAATTGACATAAATACAAGTGTGAGTCGGTAAGAGCTCCGGTTTAATACATTTTTTAATTGCTAAAATTAATTGTTAATTGCGAAGGTAAAATACTTTCAAACGCCATAACGCCATAATTCCTTCAATGAAACCTAAAGAAACTGCCCAAGTACGTTGATTAGAATTTGAGCAATAAAATCGCAGAAGTTGAAAGTCTGTTTGGAGAAATTTGAAGAAAATTGGGTATTAAATTTTTATGTTCAATGTCTTACGAAAGTTTATTATCACTACAAGTGCACTGTGATCATTGTGCAGCTGATACATTACATATTACAAAGGCACACATAGGTATATCAGAAACTGGTAGTAGATACTTTACTAATAAGCAAATAGCAGTTAAGGCTTTACACCCGGTATATATAAAATCAAGAGCTCCATAATTCTGTATTGCATTCTGTTATTGATATTGTATGGTGTTAAACTAGTGTATGGGGGTATTATTTATAACTATAGTGTAAGAGATATATCAATAAATATTACGTTATTCTTAATAAAGGTTATATATAGTGACACTGATAGCAATTTTGATTGTTCAGACAAACTCGAAATACATATGGAGAAATACGTGACTGCTTATTTCACTAGCAGTCATTTATAAAGATTTATTAGTTAGTACAGTATATCATAAATGATGAGGACCTAAGATAAGATATAGAAAAAAGATGAAGACCTAAGATTCGATTTGTTCTGTATAAAATATATACACCATAATATTGATTGAAGATTGTCAGAAAAATATGATTGAAAGCAATTTAAATCATATCTTGTAAAACAAAAAATGTTTATGATAATACTGTGTTTAAATTGGAAATGAGAGGTAGAAAAGATGATTAAATATTATAATATATACAAAACAACGACTGGTACATAAGCAAAATAAGTAATTTAATAGACTAAGAACAAAACAGGCCACTAATTCAAAACTATTAAAGTTATAGCTGAAGAATATGCAGCAGACATCATGAGATCTAACTTCTAAATGAAATATATAGATATAATACTAAAGATAAAGAATATTAAGTAGGATCACAAAGAGTCGAATCTTTAACTTTTCAAATTGTATTTTTTTATCGTTACTAAAGAACAAGTAATATATTTAAATATTTTTTAACTGAAGTGGGTATTGTGAAAATTATGTCATATATAGAACACTTAACCGATGCATTCCAAAGAAAAATAGCTCTCATTTTCGCGTACGATTGGAAGTAAATAGTATGATTTTTAAACAGAAAATATACAATAACAACAATATTATGTAAGAATAAAAATAAAATTAAATTTTGGAAGAGCTTAGAAGCTTGAATGAAACAATTATGGAAACTGACTAGAATTAGCTTCCATCGTGACAATGCAACACCACACACATTTTGATGATTCGGAAAAAATCGGTAGTACTTGTTTGAACTGTTTTGATGTATTAAACATCTTGCACCCTCTGACTTCCATCTAACTCGATCTAATCTCTGCAATACTCTCTTATTGACCGGTTATAAGCTAACCGAAAAATAATGGTCAATAGGTAGGATTAAAATTTATTTTCAATAAAGAAAATTTTTAATGTTAGTTTTGACATGCCGATAGTAGCGCGTCTTTATGAAGAAAAGAAACTACTTAAAAGTTAGACGGATTTGAATAGTAAACAAATGACAAGGACAAAAATTTGTTTTAATTCATTGAAATTAGGCTGTCCATACAACGCTGTTTCAAGTATTGCCAAGTACTCATCATCAGTGGTCTTAGGAAATAAACGAATTTTTTTATTACTTTATAGTCCGTATATAATTTTTGTATATATAAATATTATATACATAAGTCCTATATTACATTTAGTATGGAGTGAATAGGTCTTAATACCCAATCACTTAACTTGGCTAATTGAGGTATAAATTAGTTTCACTACTGAACGGTTTCTATTGCGAAAAAGGGTCATTATCGGTTTGAATTGATATTAACCGATTAAAGTGATGTGTTTATCGATATTGTCGATTGTTTGTGAATCCATTAATTTGTGATTGAATATCAAATTTTCTTTGTCCGATGGAAGATAATGCAGTAAACATGGCATCGTTTGTTTCGCAAACAAATTTTATTTATTAAATGGATTTTATATTTTAACATTAAATTTGTGACAGATGAAGCACAAGTGTATTGTTTTGAGGATGGTTTGTTTTTAATGGATTGACGATTTAAGTTTAATTCGAGTCCGAGTATGAGTCTGTATTGTATCTGAATTGGCATTTGCATTTGCATTTGCATTACTTCAATGAAACGATGAAGTTTCGATGTGCTTTGTGTACTTCTGGTGTTATTCAATAACTTTCACCTCGAACTTATCTTTTGTAGCACTGAGTGATTTGATCAAATTTTAGTCAAAGTATTACCAAATAATTTTTGGGTTTTGTTACTAATAAAAAGACATCTATTATTTTGTGTCTGAGTTGGCTCAATAGCCGCAGCTCGACATGTGAATGGATGTGGCTATTAACATTCGGGGTTTGAATTGGAATGGATTGGATTTTTCAAAATTACGTATTCACACGCAAATGTAAACTAAACTTTTTATATTTTTTTCTCTGATTTTTTAATATAATTTTCGTTATTGCTCTTATTTTTGTATATTTTCTGTATTATTATAAAAATATGTTTTGCTTTGTTTCGATTTGATTTGGTTTGATTTGGTTTGATTTGTCTGCGACTTAATGAAATATCGTTAAATGGGCGCAAAAACACAATTAATTTCAAGATAAACAAAGTAAATGTGCGTATTAGGCCACAAACCATAAAGCAACACTCGACCAACTCGAAGATGTGAGGTAAGTTGGATATTGGCACAAATCGAGGTTACTTAACGGTTCATTGAGTGAATGACTTAAACGACGAACTCGTTAAGTCTGCACGTACGGCCGGACTTGCGGATGAAGCGTCCCGAATTACGTATTAGATATGCACCAGATAATAACGATAGGAGACTTGCCTTGTGATTTTTCCAATTTTGCTATTAACAATATGAGCAAAATTTTCCATATGACACATGTATTCCAAAAATCCTTCCAGCACGGAAACTGCATCTTCAGCCACTCACAATGCCACACACTCACAATTATTTATATTTTCACTAGAATTTTTACGACTAAAATAATAATTTTAGTCCTTTTACGACAATTGGGTTAAGCACTTCCAAATGGACATCATTGCTCGAGGTCAATAAACGTTAAATGAAATACTAAATTGGAAAGGCGCAATATTTTACCGAATATAAATGAGCAATTTATGGACTTAATCTCAATTAATTAGTATCTTTTTGTTTTTTTTTTGTGGTATATTTTTTACTAATATCTTTTCAAAATTTCTTCGTGTAAATTGTAAATTTCTTTGCAATTTCCGCGCACGCTTGCAACTTAAACCGCACTTGAACACCAACTGAACTGTGGCACCACATCAATGGAGCTATTCGGAACCGCACACAGCTGAAGAAATGCAGGCTACGATTTCAGCTATGAAGACATACCCAAGAAGCCAACAATGGCAGCGACTTAGCGACTTGGCGAGTTAATGGTGAAGACGGCTGGTGAAGTTGGCTGCTTGTGCTTAGCTTTGGTGCTGTTGGCCAGTGTGACTTGTTTCAGTTTGAAATGCGTGCAAGCAGCTACTTTATTGTTTTGGTTTAAAGTGCGGCTTCAAGTTGTTACTATTATTATCCGCTTCAACTGTTGTTGTTGTTGTTGCTGTTGCTGTTGCTTCTTTGTTGCCGCTGTTATTAGTTCCCATATGGTTTGGTTTTAAGAGCAACACTTAAACGCGTTCATATGTCAATTGGAAAGAGGTGCACACGGTTAGCGTAAGTGCAACACAAAAGAATGGATTAACATGCATTTGTTAAGTAGTAGTAAATAAAAAAAAAATAATATTGTAAACAACAATAAAAATAACAACAGCAACAGCAACAACAACAACAACAACAACAACAACAACAGCAACAACAACAACAACTCTAACAATAATAATCAGTAAAATGCATAGAATTTTCTTTCGACTTTACTAATATCTTTTAATTGATTCAAAACTACGGTCTCGATAAAGACGAAGGTACAGTGGTTAGAAAAGTGAA